CTCTTTACGACATCATTTGTAGCCTACAAGCTGCCCAGGGGGGTGGAAATTCAAGTGGACAATCCGACAACTTGACCTGTACAGTCATGTACAGCTATAATCAGGGAGGGGGGGGGGTGTAATACCTGCTCTTTGCACCCTGGTCATATCATCTGGTTGACTCAAGTTTCTCGAGAATGAAATTCCTCATGTGCTTGCTTTTGCTGCTAATGAATTACGGTCATCGGAAAAACCCATGCGGCTTGTACTTTCAGAACATGTCCCACAGTGCAACTCCCTGCTGGCATGTATATACATGTACATGTAATCGTATTTTCTGAGCTGCCAAATGTGTTATTTTTGCCTTTCCCTAAGGCGCGTCACCTCCTTGGCTGCCCGTGAGTTTCAGCGGTTACCGGTTACCGTATTGCTTTTCTGTTGGCCGCCGCCGATGACTAAAATATCTATGTGAATGCGGCTGGCTGCATAACTGGCGGTGCCGATTGTATATTTATAATTTTAGTGGTTGCTGGCATGCATTTCAACACTGACATGCTATCAAGCTCGTGTTCAGTCACGTTCTAGCTGGTGCTATACTAGTAGTGTGGGGAATACTATAATTATAATTATGATGCTGAGTTGCATCAGTATCGTCTCATCCAATCACTGTCTCGGAATGTCCTACAAAAAATTGAAAAAAAGGAGTGGCAAGTACTCTAATTTCAGAAATTTTCGGTGCTCAATATTTTCGGTATGAGGGCAAAAGGCCAGGTTAGGCGAACAGAAATTTTCGGTACAGAGAAGCAATTCCCTATTGGATTATGTGTGTTAGTGTTTGTTCGGTGTATTGAAATTTTAGGTATGAAACAGACGCACCGAAAGTACCGAAAATAAAAGTACACCGAAAATTTGTGAAATTACAGTACCCGTACTAGTGTAACTACTTATTGGCAAGTCTTGCCAACAAGTAGATCTACTGTATACATGTATGTAGCAGGCCAATATTGACTACAAGTCATGTACATTGTACTGTTCAAAAAATACAGTCATGTTATGTTGTACATGTATGCAATATAATAATGGGGGATATTATCAAGAGTACATAACCCCCCAGAGTGTGCAACGCCGATCCAGCTCTGTGTAGGGTCTTGGTCGAGCGGAATCGGATCTTCTGATGTCATGCGTACACTTCACACCAGCGCAAGGCCGGTCTCGAGGCAGGGCACCATTGTTTTTGATCCAAGACTCTTAGAGTACCCGCGACTCCCCGGGTTCCCCTCAGATGTGTACGGTATTATGACGCAAAGATCCGATTCCGCTCGACCAAGACCCTATGCAGAGCTGGATCAGGCGTTGCACACTCTGGGGGGTTATGTAGGGGGGTTATGTACTCTTGATATTATAATACCCAGTGACCGTTTTGGTATCAAGGAAATCAGAAGGCGGGTACGGGCGGGTGACAGTATGTCCAGCATGACTAGCACTAGTGCACTCCGACTCTCGTGTGGTTGCAGAAGACCCCCCCAGTTTTACAGTGTATTTTTGTATTTTGCACCGCGCCGTAGATCTACGTGCGTAGCAAAGCATGCCGTTGCCGTGGCCGTGGAACAGTGATCAGATTAGTGAATCATGAAGGCAAGTAAACTGTAATGTCTTTTGTATTTTCACTTTGATGATAATAAAAATTGTAAAGTCGTGCCGCACCCCATTTACCATTCTTGAGTTTAGTCCTGGTTGAGATATCACCCCGTTACGTGGCAATAGAAGAACACTTCTTTAGACCTAAACCGAGCTCTCAGTACGGGTAATTATATCGACGTTCAGTAATGGTAAACAAGACGATTCTTTTCTAAGAATGGTGTCCAGAACGCTATAGTTGCATGCATTGTGCGGTAACTAGTGCCTATAGCAGCTAATGCAGAGACACATAGGCAAGTGGACTGCTGCTCTGAAGGCCTCGGCTTCGAGCTGGAGGCTTTTGGTGAGATCGTTAGCTGCCGGCCTGAGAGAACTACGTGAAACGTCCAATTGGCGCGCTACTATCGGCTGCTTACTGTCAAGTTACAATCCCAGGCTGTGTCTGAAGTGTCTTCGCTCACCAATCTACTTGCCACTAGCCATAGCAGCGTTTGTGATTTATAGCTTAGTGTACGCAAACGGTCAGCCTAAGGACGTGGACGTGGTGCCCCAGCCTCCACTGTGGATTGACCCGGAGATAACGTGTCCTGATGGATACGCGGACGCATGGAGAGGCTTCAGTGCCGTCAATCACCAATCTCTGAGCAAGAGTCCTGCCGCGGCCGTAAGTGCATGTGTTAAGCAGCACACCGCCGGGCGTCACCAGCTGAGAGCGGTGGCAGCAGCGTGGCGGAATGGATTGGACGATGGAGACGCAGAGCACTGGCGTGCACAGCACACGATCAGTTGCTGTCGACTCTGGGGCTGTGTGTATCCAAGCAGCAGCAGCATTGACATACAGCAATCTCTCCGGGAGCCAAACAACCGTGCTGTGAATGGCTGCAAGCGTGTGTTACTGATTATCATCTTCAACTTTCCCTATTTCGACAATATCCCTCTGATCAAGCAGCTCTACGGAAAAGCCTTCTCCAAACTCGTGTTTTATGCCGACGTCGGCGATAGCGCAATGGGAGTGCATCAGTCCAATGTCCAGGAGGGGTTCTATCAACACCGTACCATTGCGCAGGCAATGCATGAATATCCAGGCTATGATGGGTACATGTGGATAGCAGATGACGTTATGCTGAATTACCATGCAGTGCTGTCTGTCCTTGACGCCTCCATGGTGTGGCGAGGGGGCACGGACTTTGTGCCATATTACCTCAACTCCACAACTGCTGCGGTCCCGTCCTGGCATTGGACCCAGCGTTTCGGTCGACTTGCTGCGTACAATGCGTACCACTGTCTCCCACCGAAGTACCTGCGCCGAATGAAGAATGCCCTGGGCTGTGTGAACTGTTTTGTCAAGGGTGTTTCTGATGTTGGATATGTGCCGGCAAGGTTCGTGCCGGACTTCAAGTTCCTGGCGTACATGTTCCGTGAGGTCTTCTTTGAGTTTGCCATTCCCAGCTTACTGCAGCTGGCATCGCCGGAGTCGAACGTCATCGATGGCGAGAAGGGTCACTACAGCTGGGGCAACACCAGTGAACGCTATCGACAGGCGCGTGCAGTGTGGAACCCAACCATGCACTTCATCCACCCAATGAAGCTCAGTATCCCCGAGCAGCGCCAGGACGTGCTGGACTGGCTTGAGCAGGCAGGCGTCTACTACGAGAACATCGGCGTCAAGCCAATGGACAACTTCTGCCGGTGAGTGACCTTGCTCAACACTAGCCGCTGCTGAGCTTTCAGTTACATCCAGTGGCTTGCTGCGGTGCACTCAGTGTCACAGATCCCGGCGATCGGTTGTTTCAGTGCAGCGTATACACACTCGTCTTGGGCGCTGGCTGCCTAGCTCTTAAATATTATTTTGTCGCTCCCTTTTCGTGAAGACTCTTTTCCAATTTTAGTGTTACACGTTGTTTGCTGCTACGTGCTACCTTCCATAGTGGCTAAACTGCCAACATGGCCGAGCAGTACAATGCTGTATGCAAAGTAGGGTTTGCCGAACTAAGTTTCCAGACTATTTTCAGAAATGCGTTCAGTTTTATCTCAATCATTTATTCGGAAATTAGGAAATTTATACATATCCAAGTTTGACTCTGTGCATAGCACCGCTCATTCAGTGTTTTAGCGGAGGTTTCATTTTGCTCTGCCGTACAGTAACACGGTTCTCTCGGATCGTGACTTCGAAGTACTTGATGATACATGTACAGTGCACCCTCCTTCACTGAAAAGCTGTAAGCCTGTCTCTCGAATTTGTGATTGGATACTGTGTTTCTCAGGGTGTCTGGTATGAGTTGCATCTCATTTTGAAAGCGATATCGGGGCCATAAGGAACCAGCTGAAGCGGCTTCTGAAGCTGAGCAGGCATGAGCGCGATCTTTTTTAAATCCGACACGTCCGGGCCATTGGCAGCCAGAAGCACATGCACTGCACAGCATGCCGGACTTGGGGCTGCATGATACCAAATGCTTGGGCATCGTCATCTTCATCCCGGCAGATTTCTTGTATCTCAGAAAAAAGTGCAGTTGTCCGGTACGATTTCAGCGCCGTGCAATGACTTTTACGACCTCACGTGTGGCAAGGAAGAATTGCACTGGTCACCTGGTAACACAATGCGGTGTGCAGTGACTGTGTACATACCGGTGATTTGTTTTCACTATCAACGTGGAATATATAACTAAATGCAGCGCGCAAACCTGGGCTTCGCCTGGGTTTGTGTTCAGTTTGTAGTTTTTATTCTATGCATACATGTCAATAGAAGCTGCTTTCCGTATGTGCAGTTACATTGAGCCATGGTGTTTTATTTTATTTTGTGAATCCTCCCCGGAAGCAAATGCTGGTTTTATGCATTCGTGTAATTACTCAGCGTTTAATATTTGCAATAATAATAAATAATAGTCACTGAATAATACATGATAGTCAGGAAGGTGAGGAGGGTGCCGGAGTTGATTTGAACTGTAATCATATTGCCGGTGTACATGTACATACAGTCAAGTTCCTTGTGCACCCTGCAAGAAGGCCATAGCATAGGCCAGTTGGGTATCCAAGTAAAATAAATACTACTGCAAGACACCAACTTCAGCAGGACACACTCACACAGGTTGGGTGCCAGATTCAAGTCGGATTGGACCAGCGTGGCGAGCCAGTGGCAGTGGTACCCGCAATAACCCGGGTGCTTCTCCCTGGCCCTGGCGGATGCGTCACGATGTAAGCTCCCGGCCGGGCATGCCACCTCTTCTTCCATTCACATGATTCATGGTTACAAACAGGGAGTAGTACAATACCCCCTGGTTACAAACGAAACATCACGTGTACAATGCAGTTTCGTCATCATCCGGGATATCCGATAGGCGATATCCGTTCGTCGCGTATTGCCAAATATGTAGCGGCGGGGTTTTCAAACGGCAAGAAAAATCTGCATGCATGTATATTGTTTGTCGTACTTGACTGGAGAACAAGATATCGTAGCTGTTGACCATGGTCGAAGTGAGAATCTTTGTGGCAAGGCCTCTTCCAGGCCTTTGCGATTAGATGGAGAGTAATACCTATAATGTAGAGGGTAATTCTTATAACTAGTATTAGGTTATACCAGGGTAATTATTCTTGTCTCCAATGGAGTACTGAGAGAGCCACAGACTTCCCACTCGTCAACTAACAGTTTGTGAGCAAAGTCGAGTGCTGCCTGCACATACGAGCTGTACCAGTGACGGTGTTAGTTCCTGAAAGGTCAAGTCATGGAGAGGCGCAGTGCTAGGCTCAGGGTGTCGACAGGATCTGTCAATCACTCTAGGTACAGCCTGACAACACTGAACGAGGACACTTTCCACGAAGTCGGTAAGCACAATCTAGTTGTTCCTCACTGTTCTCGTACACCACGGTACCCACTGCACTATCTTGAACTAACTTACTTTTTCACTTGTTACTGTCTAGGTGGTGAAGCTTGGCTGTGTGTAGTCGGCGAAGACCTTCGCGATGACAGTGCCATTGCGGAAAGTGCCAAGGTAAATCAACGATATGACACGTCCAGTAATGTTTAGATCGCTGAATACGTGATAATTTGTACTGTAGCCATGCCTATCCAGTGTCCAATGCCATGTTGGTAAACGTAGTACAGAGTGATACTGATACAAGGGCCTACAAGGCAGAAACTCTCCCACGAGACAGATAGACATAATCATCAATATTCATCATGCAAGTCTACAGCCATAATTGGGTACTAGTAGTAGTAACCCATGTCACTGACCCGGTCGAGAGAAAGAAAAAAAGATCTACACATGTAGGAAAGATTTTGACATGTGTTCGAGTTGATCCAGTTGAAATCCGCCTTCCGGGACATAGTCATACACGTGCATACAGAATCTGCGGACAGCTAGCTGTTTCGACCTTGTTAGGTGTCCTTAGCAGAGCTCAGAGAACTGGCCGAAATGATCGCAATGAAATCCAGTGGGAAACAATGCATTTTTATACCGACGTACAGCATCAAAGTACACGTACATGCATGTGTCATGCCAGACATATGCAATACGGACCCGTCCGCTTATGCAGTCGTGCTCTTTGTGACCGGCACCAAGGGTTTTTTTGCAAGTAGTTCGTCGAGCTTGAGGGGGGGAGGAGGGGGTGTTGTGACCCTGACCCTAGACAGTACAGTGCTGAACTGTACTGCCCTGCTTTTGTTTCTTGCCTACGCTATGTCCACGCCATCTTTCATTGCATACAGTAAGATCGGGCGCCGAAGAACACCTCGCCGAAGAACGCCCAGGCTGGAAAACCGGCAAAATTTAAGAACAGTCCAGGCTAGAATTATCAGATTTAAGAACACTAGATCTACATTGTACGTAGATCTACATTGTACATGTATGGGAGGTGAGTACATGTCATGTACACGTGTAAACAGTAACTGCTACATGTACAGTCATTCCCATTTACGACACCCACTAGTTTAGAAGTACTACATTGCACTACATGTACATGTACATGTACATGACAAACGTCATGACGTCACTCGACTCGCCGCGCGCGTGTGAATAAGAACGGTCTGGCTAGAATCAAAAATTTAAGAACTTTCCTAGGCTGCGCTCGAGCCCCTGCGTTCTTCGGCGCCCGATCTTACTGTAAGACATAAGCATTATTTAAAGGTGTTTGTTTGATTGCTTTCACTACTCGGTCTAGGTCCTGGAGCTGCAGGTGGCATTTTCCAACGAGGCTAAGATTCCTGATGAAGTACCCAGTGGCTGTGACCTGGCCTTCGTCGTGTCAAACTTCGATGGAGCTCTGTTCGATAAGCTGTGGAGCAAGGTCAGGTCTCTAAGGAGTAGCCACGTCAGGTAGGTACCATTGCAACGCTCTGCATAGCATGCTTGAGTGTTGTTGTTGTTGTTGATGTGTTTCTCTCCTCAGTTTACCGTTTTGTCTTTCTTTCTCTCTCTTCTCCTTTGTTTCCATGACTGGCTTATGTCCCCGTCCATTTATGTCGTTACTGCCATTGGACGGTGAATAAGTAAATAGATAAAATAATGTAAAAAAAGAGAAGAAACACATGAGAACGAGTTATGCAGCAACTATCCACGACTGTAACAAGATGATAAACAGTCAGAAAGTGCGATAATAAGGCGCGAAACTGACAGGCTACTGAGACATTCAGCGACCCGAGACCTAGCTCTAACACATCTCCAGTGCGCAAACCAACAGCCTTCCAACTTGGAAGGTTCATGGTTACGTAGGACCGAAGAGGGGAAGGTTCTCATGTGTTTCTTCTCTTCTTTTTTTTACATTTTATTACTGGCTCAGTATCCGAGTTTAGATAAAATTATGCACTGCAAATAGTGCTCTTTGTCTGCACGTCTGTTTTGAGGGAACTGTTCTCAGTGCATTGCGACCCACTGTCAATTGAGAACTTGTCACCCACCGTGATGGCAACATAGCTGTAGCTGATGGGATTTTCAGGTATTGGGTGTAATCCACTCACTTCCCACTGCTTTAGTAGGAGCTGCATCTGACACGATGATCCACTAGTTATAATGACGTACAAATGTGGAAAAGTCAATATGACTGGACTTGTTGCTGTTGCTGTTGTTGTTGTTGTTGTTGTTGTTGTTGTTGTTGTTGTTGTTGTTGTTGTTGTTGTTGTTGTTGTTGTTGTTGTTGTTGTTGTTGTTGTCGTCGTCGTCGTTGTCGTCGTCGTCGTCGTTGTCGTCGTCGCTGCTGCTGCTGCTGTTGTTCTTGTTCTTGTGTAGTGCCTGATACTAGTGTCGGTGGCTATCTCTAGATTTCAATTGGACCACGAATATAATGTGTTTGCTCTTCTTGTTGGAATGCCACAATCACCACTATCAGCAGCAGCACAGAGAACTTTCCCTCGTTCAAGTATGTGCATTGTTCTTGCTTCTGTTCTCTCTTTGGCTTACTGCAGGATTCTGGGTCCACCTTGTTTGCACTACTGTGCGGCTGCCAAGACGGTGAGTGTTCCACACCAGTTCAAAGTGTAGATTCTTGGTGCATACATGTATATCCTGAGTGTTTGATACTGGCTATGTGAGGACACCCTGGCTTCGGTCACGCTACTTCAAATTTCATGCTGGACCTATACTAGCATCAAACCCAAGCAATTGATGCTGACGTGGAGTCACACTTTATTTGTGCTTTTGCTGCCGTGGCCTGGCACACTTCACAAAATCAAATCTTTACGATACAGTACAGTACGTCCACTTAGCTGTAGTCAGTTGCTCGTGCCATGGCGGAGAAAGAGAGTTGAAAGGAATATGATCATGCTGTCACCCATCAATTTCTGTAGTTATCCTGGGTCATTTCATTCGTGCTCTGTCGTGTCAGCCTTTTGGTGTGTTTGAGTCGACTGTTCATTTATTTTACATTGTGGAATCTTCAGGCTTACATTTTTTGCCTTCTGTTCCTTGATTTCGAATATCAGTTGATTTCCTATCTTAAAAAAAAAAAGCTTTGCTGTGTCATGAATATGTCTGAGGCACGAGTCATCATGGCATGCGTTATTTCAATTTTTAGTTCTGCTGCTACGTGTACTGAGGCAGTGAGCACCGATTGACATTATTTTGCAGTTTTGAATTAAATTTGCTACTTCGTGTGGTCTAGAAAAAATGGTCTGGGAAAAGTCCGGAAAATGTATTTGATTTCATTGTGCGACCCCTGCTTAGTTGTCCCGTCTTTTCATCTGTTGCCATGGAAAAACTCATGATTCAGACCCTGACGCAGTGTTTCCGACGTAGTTTGACCGAGACATGTAATATAATACCAGGTACTGTACAGCACCCGACCTGTAAACACCGCCGTCACCGGGCTGTGGACTGGCGTAGAGTACTGACTCATTCATTAGGATAATGTGATTTTATTGATCGTGTCTGGCTGCAATTCCTCATCTTTGTGTCCCTATTTACTCTGTGTTCAGAATCTGCCATTCACCAGGAGGCCCGTTTATTCATTGAATATGTCGGGTCTGGAGATCTGCTTCATGGGATTTCGCTCAGGCGAGAAGAAGGACATGGTATGTCAGTGTGCTTCCTCACTATGCAGTATTACTGGTACTGATGCCTATCAATGAACCCATACTATAGTGGTTATTAATGAAGACTTGCTTTTCATTTGCACGGAACTTCTCATAGGAAGTGCATACAGGTAATAGAGAAGGGAAACAAAGCGTTGTTGCTGCTACTCAGAAGTTCACGCGTTAGCGATCATCAGGCAGCCCAGGCAGTGCCGTCTGATGATCGCTAACGCGTGAAACTCTGAGTAACAGCAACACCGCTTTGTTTCCCTTCTCTGTACCTGCATAAGGCTCTGCACCTAGGTGCGTCGAGCACTCTCTCGAGCTGCCACACGTCTCTCTGTCTCTCTCTCTCTCTCTCTCTCTCTCTCTCTCTCTCTCTCTCTCTCTCTCTCTCTCTCTCTCTCTCTGTCTCTCTCTCTCTCTCTCCCTCTCTCTCTCTCTCTCTCTCTCCCTCTCTCTCTCTCTCTCTCTCTCTCTCTCTCTCTCTCTCTCTCTCTCTCTCTCTCTCTCTCTCTCTCTCTCTCTCTCGCCATGTAGGATGGACTGGTGATGAAAGTACGGTACATGGGTGCTGATGTGAGGACAGACATATCCGATGTCAGTCATGTGGTTGCCCCCAATGTTACAAGTTCTCGTTATGAGGTAAGGAGGATGGCATGGTTAAGAAAACTTACTCACTGTTAACATATCCTTACACACACATGCCTGCTTTCCGCCAATAGAATACCTGTCTTGTATTATTTACGAACAGTGTGAGGGAGGGGGTCCTGAGTGGTAGTGTCAACGCTTTGACCTTTTGTCCTGACGCTGGAGGTGTTGCGCCGACTCCACTTCTACCACGACATTGAGAATCCTGGCTTGGAGTAGACTCCGTCGGAGAGGAGGAAGATCCTTGAAATGAGACACAAGGCTCAGGCAGAAGATCCTGTCTGCATCATCCTACCTCTCCTTAGTCTTGATTGCTTCGGTGATGTTGTCTATCGCCTTCTGGATATTGGGCCGTGGGGGGGGGGTCTTGATTAGATTCCCCCACGGCCGTTCAGAATTCAGAATCCGGCTCTGGGGAAGGCTCCGTCTCAGAGGAGGCAAATCCTTGAAGTGAGACACACAGCTCAGGCAGAAGAGCCTGTCTGGATCATCCTCCCCTCTCCTCAGTCTTGATTGCTTCGGCGATGTTGTCTATCGCCTTCTGGATATTGGGCCGCAGGGGGGGGGGGGGTCTTGATTGGATTCCCCCACGGCCGTTCGGAATTCAGAATCCGGCTCTGGGGAAGGCTGTGTCTCAGAGCACACAGAGGAGGCAAAACTTGAAGTGAGACACAAGGCTCAGGCAGAAGAGCCTGTCTGGATCATCCTCCCTCTCCTCAGTCTTGATTGCTTCGGCGATGTTGTCAATCGCCTTCTGGATATTTGGCCGTGGGGGTTCCTGATTGGATTCCCCCACGGCCGTTCGGTCTTGACCCTTTTCGGGGTCGACACATCCTTACAAGTCACATCTGAAAGAAACGAAGAACAGTCCAAAATACGCCAATTACATCAAGTACTGTGGATTGGTATCATCATTATTTCTTGACCAAATATATCACAATGCACACCATGCACATACCGTAGTAACGCACATATAGGCGCATGTGCCTGTATTCGGATATAAGCGCACTCTCACTTATAAGCGCATGCTCTTATAGGCGAAGCACTACCAAAATTCTCACTTTGACACAATCACGGATAAAAGTCTGAAAAACAGCATACAGGAACCATGAAACTGACACTACAAGACCTAGTCAAACACAAAGACTCTGGCAACTGAACTCTGATCGCGCATGCGCGTTTAGGTGGAACATTTTCATTTTTGAAAATTGGATTCGTAGCAAAAATTCACTTTTAAGCGCATGTGCTTATACGTGCGTTATTACGGTACATGTATACTAGTACACTGCTTTTGCACATAGACCTATACTGTTATTGGACTAGAACACCTACAAAAAGAGTAGTACCCAGTGTCTGTTCCAGGATTGCAAAACAACCGGGTACACGTGCACCTGGCCCAACTCTTGCAACCGGGTCAGAGCCGGGTACGTACAAGTGCGGCTACTGTACAGCAGGAGTCTAGACTAAAAATATTTACGACATTGTCTGAACGTACTTGGTACTCTGTCCACGCGCACCTTCACTAGCTGCAGACTGTCATATCAGTGTCTACCTCCACCCCCTCGAAGTACAGTATAACAAAAAAAGTACTCAACACGACTCCCAACCGGGTCACAAGTGACCCGGTGTTCTTTTTCCAAACGGGCCCAAGAACTCTCCAGCCGGGTCACTGACCCGGCTGACCCAGCTCTGGAGCAGACACTGGTACCTACCAAGCATGGCACATTCGTATCCGTCCTTGTCAACATCAACGGGAGTGTCGGAGGAACTCCCCTCATCCGTCACCGCCCACGAAAGTTTGTCGATGTCTCCCGGCGCCCGGTAAATGTTTGCAGCCTTCGAAGCTGCTCCAGGGCGGACGACAAGGGTGGCACGGCATCCCTCCCTTGACCCGACTTGGTTGTCATTGACTTCAAATAGCACGAAAATCGTGTTCGGGTGTTGCCATACAGTACTGTCCGGCGCCGAAGAACGGGGGGAGGGGGGGGGGGGGGGGTCAGGGTTCTAGGCTAGCCCGTTCTTATATTTAGCGAACACAGCAGTTTTGTTTTTATTTGATGTTACAGTCTTACATGACATTTATGCAGTTATACGTCTGAGTGTAAATTACGGTTTCCGTTCTTATCTGCAAAAATCCAGCCTATACCGTTCCATGAAATAATGGAGAAATTCTAGCCTGGCCGTTCTTCGGCGCCCGGCGGTACTGTACCTGTAGAAACATTGCAGAACAGGAGTAACGTGCCGAAAAACCTGTAGAAGTCATTATTTATTTTAATTTGGGTACAATTTCATCCATGAAAGTATCACCATGCAAGATACACAAGAAACAAGTAAAGTAATGTGCAAGAATGGACTCGGATGGAGAGCCAAGGATACATTTATAGAAAAGAAAAAGCAATGTTATCGATGAATGTTATCGTTATGTGCAATGTTATCGCAAGAGCTAAACTTTATATACGAGCATGGCCTAATATGGCATTGTCTACTAATGTATTTGAGGAAATCCGGTGGCTTGGTATCGCATGCTGTTTGCATTCTGCATGCTCGTTCTGTGCAGAAAGCAGTGGCGCTGGGTCGGTCCATCATGTCAACACAGTGGGTAGAGGCATGCTGGGACAGTCGGCACGACTTGTAAGCAGAGTGTGCTATATCGTTTGATCTGATACTCACACATCATGTCTCGTGTACATTATCAATTTTAGCATTGTTAGTCCGTGGCGGAATTTTCTCTGACATCAGTATTTGGTACGCACACATTTAGCCCAATGATAACATCACCTTGGCAGCATGCAGAAGTCCCAAGGACCTGTACCATAGTCAAAATAGACCAATACACAGTGGATCCACTGGAGCAGGCATGTAACGGATACGGGTAGAATGAGAATAGTGAGATGATGAAGCAGGCTGGTAATAGCAGTGCTTTAGAGTCTTTTAGACTGCCGCTGTACTAAATAGCAAGTGTCTGCTACTGTTTGTTTCTCACTGTTTAGACATGTTCGAGCCACTGATGATAACATGGTAAGTGTGGTAGCGTGCATGTGACGTTTGTGTGCATGTGACATTTAGCTGCTCGCGTTTTCTTCTTCTGTTCCGGACTAGTGACCCTGAATTCCCGATGAGTTATCGAAAACGTTCACAGCTATTCAGAAAGTTGAGTTTGAACATCACCAGGCCTCCCATTCACCAGTCTCAGTATACACATAGCTCTTGCGCATATCTGCTCGGATCTTGGGCCGTACAGTATAGACACACTCCTGGCACACTCCCTTTCTCCATGTATTTTTCAGATGCAGCATCGTTTGCCGCCGTTCAAGGACTTGACTTTATCGTTCTGTGGGTTCAGCGAGGAAGACCGACAGCAAATGGAGAGTTTCTGTGATCTCAACGGTAAGTCAATGTTGTACTTCACCTGTAATCTTGCACGAGGTCCTTTACAGCATCTGTCAGTCCTTTTGATAGGCGGCGGGTCATTCAATTCTGTACAGATATACCCGGTGTTGCAGGGTGACCAAACGTGGCGGGTCATTCAATTCTGTACAGATATACCCGGTGTTGCAGGGTGACCAAACGTTTTCTTGCTTATTGGATGTACCCGTGGCCCAATCCTGAGGTTGATGAGATGTTCACGTGGCCATGCATGCCATTTGCGGTAGGTCGCGAGTATAGTTGGATCTGATGAATTTCTTTGCACTGTGCATTCAGCAGATAGGGTGTGTGGCGAGGTCGTTGGTTTGTTCTTCGGAGATGTGTTGGAGTTACATGTAGGTGTCAGGTCGTTGAATGTCACAGTACTCTGTCAGTTTTCGTGCCTAGTTGTCGCACTTTCTGACCATATTATCTAGTTGCAGTGGTGGACAGTCACTCATACGTTCCTCGTATCCATGTGTCCCTTTCCTTTCAACAGCATTTACTCAGCTTTCTTCTGTTGAATATGGTGATAAAGACACACCTGGCGAAATGGTGGTAAATACACGCCTGTCCACATATGCTCTCTAAGCTGCACAGTTACAATTTGGCACAGAGCTCTCCTTCTCACCACCACCATCAATTTGCACCAGGCATCTAGTAGATGCATGGCTATAGTAGTGATGTCTGCCATAGTGGGCTGGTACATCAGTTAGCACTCGACCAAGCACAAACTGATGGTGGGAGGTGGTGAGAAGGCCAGCTCTGTGCCTTGCGCCATTTCGCCAGGTGCGTCTTTACCACCATATTCTTCAACCCTAAATACAGCTGCAGTGAAGTGAAGTCAAATCAATTCCAGCTTTCTTGAAGTTTCTTCTGTTCTGTTTTATATGTGATCATTGCTAAATTGCTTTGTAAAGGTCCACCATGTATAATGTGACAATGTAATGTTGAGCATTGAAACGCAGTGGGGCCTAGATTGGAGCATATGCCCCTTTGACGAGATTAACTTCATCACTTGATCCTACTACAGCGATTCTAGGAGTGAACGAGTCAAGGATTTGACAGGCCGCTATGGACTCTACTTGTGCTTGCAACCACATGGACTGCCTGCCTTGACCCCCCCCCCCCCCCCCCCCCCCCGTAGAGAACGCAGTAACCCATTTAGTACTATGATTGTTAATCCAGTTGAAAGCCAACGGCTAAATCTTTGGAATCTGGCCTCGTTTCTTTCATGTACAATACTGATATACCATCTACTTCTAGTACGAATTCTCACTGTTGTACTTATAGTACATGTAGCTTGTTAGATTTGACAACAGATATGCCTGATTGTACACACCTGTATTGACTAGAGTCAGTGACATCTGCACATGGATGTGCTGGCCTCAAAGAACCGCTCTGTTGACGGCATTCTTTCTTCCTCTCTCCAGGTTGCAAAGCTGTCCCATACAGCGAGAGTTGCACACACGTCGTCTGCTCGCCTGATCTTACTCGCCTGGATGACATGCCGACAGGAGCAGTGGCTGTCAAAGCAGATGTAAGCCACGCTGTATGCAAGTGTGTGTGTGTGTGGAGGGGGGGGGGGGTATACTTGTACATGTGTGGGTGTGCGTGGGTGGGTGTTTGTGTGTTTGTGTTTGTATTTAGCTAACCATGTCTAGTAGTGTAGTTACACGAGTCCCACGACTCCTTGGGTGATCGTTTGCCGTAAAGAAATAATTGCTGATTTGCCATGTTTCCAGTCTCACTGTTCTCTGACTTGTTCTGTGTTTGTCTCTGCAGTGGTTCTGGGAGTCCATTCAAATCCGTGCCTGCAGCAATTCTAACCTGCATCTCTTCCAGGTAACAGCCTGTGCTATAGTTCTCATACAATGTTTGCCTGGATTGCTTATGCTTTTAAGACGCATAGAAAAATGTCAGAATTTTTTAACATTCTGACATTCAGTCAGCCATTCAGGTGGCATGTGTTCTTACTTGATCCTGGTTGCCCCTCTCCGGAAGACACAGCAGTTACGATTTTGCACCCGTGTAAGTTCTGCCTGTCGATATTGGGTGCTCTTCGTAGAGCGGTGGCCTGCTTGTTTCTAGCCCCTGTGTGTATTCATTCTCCAAGCTTGCATGTGTGCATTAATGCCTATTTCCATTCTCCCCCCCCCCCTCTCTCTCTCTTTCTCTCTCTCTCTCTCTCTCTCTCTCTCTCTCTCTCTCTCTCTCTCTCTCTCTCTCTCTCTCTCTCTCTTCAATCCTTTCATTGCACATGCTGTGTCTTGTGTCTGCGTACAGAGTGTCACACAGAGCACTCCGTCGCGCTCGCCCAGCTGCCGTCCGTTTCTTCACCGCCCCGGACTGTCTCATGCAGGTCCTTCGCCCCTTACCACACCCAATGCGTTTGTCTTTCCGTCGTCATCGCCCTCCCTTCCCTTGTCATCCGTGTCGACAGCTGGATCCGTTACTTCCCAACAGCTCACACTAGAACCCACCAACAGCCCCATAAGTATGTCTTTGCTGTGCCTATTTTCCCACTGTTTGTACGGATGCCACTTTGCTGGTGGGCTGATCTACTCACCTCCCACCGCTTTAGGAGCTGCATCTGCACCTTAGATCTTTGCAGGGTGGTGGCATTCCTATGGATGCTGGAAACTCAGTCTGAGTCTCAAGCGAGTCGTGATTTTTTTGTATGGATGCATACATACTTTACACTCTCTTTCTCTATCCTTACCCAAACCTGCAGCAGGCATATATTGACACTAGAACCCCTCACCGTTCGTTGTGTAGCCAACCTGCTGATGTTGTTTTTGGTATTGAGCAGTGGTTCATTCTATTCACCAGCACGCATATTCGTTCGCAATTGCGCTGTGTATACGCCCTTGTGCTTCTAATGCCAGCGTTTCTTCTTCCCAAATGATCTGTCTCCATAGACTGACTGGGATGAGTAGGGTGCAGTTGTTGATTGTCTCTTCTGAATATTCTATCGATGCCGTAGGCGAAGTAGCTGAAAGCCCTACTATGACTAAGCTGAACAAGAAACTCGCCGAGCGCCGCAACAAGTGCTTAGAACTACAAGAGACGGAGGTCAACTACGTTGCCATACTCAACTACATAGTTAACGTAAGTGTGCGTGTGTATGTGTGTGTGCATCTGTGTGTATGTATGTGTGTCTTTCCCTCAAACCAGTTAATATTGTATGTGTGTGTGTGTGTGTGTGGGTGTGTGTGCATCTGTGTGTGTGTGTATGTGTGTGCGCGGATGTGTGTGTGTGTGTGCGTGCACGTGTGTGTACCCATGGAGAGTGTCTGTTTTGTCAGTCACAGTGCATCTTATATTATTAGGAGCTATTTTAGACGCGTCTTGTGTTTGATGCTACGTCCCTCGCTACCAAGCTGATCTGTTTCCTGAATCATGTCCACATGTGAACGCCTTCATGCACAGCCATGGGAGTCTTTGTGAAAGTTCTGGGCAGGAACTGCAGCTCTACTGGAACGCGTCCCTCCTGATTTGATTCTGTGCGCTGCATAGTTCAGCATTGCATTTAAGGGTGCATTCTGTATTGGTATGTAAAGGATACGTATTTTGTTGCTGGGTCTTCTTGTCTCGTGTACCCATGCAGAGCTTTGTAGAGCCACTGGAACTACCCAATCAGATTGGCGGTGCCATTTTGAATCCGGAGGAGGTCAAGGAGATGTTCTACCCTCTTCCCCAGCTCGCCGCTTTACACGAGAAAATGCTAGTAAGTGCGTTAGTATGATTGTTTGCAGTATTGGAAATCCTGTCATGGCTACAGTCTGATTTCCTCTTGCGTAGAGCTGATGATCTTCTCGGGAAGAATATGACAGGGACATAGATCACAGAGCTTGCGGATATCAGTGCCCCTAGTGTTTCCTAGCACCTCTGTGCTCAAGGCATTCTCGTTCTGGCTTAGGTGATATGTTACAGTGTGGGTGGGAGGGGAGGAGGGGATATGTTTGTGTGTGTGGATGTGTGTGGGTGGTGGGCTAGGTCTGTACTTACCATAACGGGCTGGTTGAGCGGTACACAATGCATGAGCTGGACTAATTTTTTTCTTCTATCACCGGATTGTGTACAATCCCGAACTACACCATCTCGTAATTGCATACGACTAGCTCAGTCTGGCTCGCAGTACACTTGGACAAAGAGGAAGCTAACGGGCAATTATTTCTTGATGTCACGTTTTCTTCGTCTCTTGCAGTGCAGTCTTCAGAATCGCTTCAGTGTCACGACAATAACGGACACAACATGCTTCGGTGATATCCTCCTCAAGCACGTGAGTTTGTGTTGCAGTCGTCTTGAACAATGGGTACACTTTGTGTTTACTGAGCGGCACGCCCAGTGCCATCCTTGTTGGCTTCTGTTTCTCTTTAGGGTTGTTGGGGGCTTGCTGTGGGACTTATAAGAGTTTCGTTGCTTGTCGTTGGCTGCCTGTTGGCTGTGTGTACAGGTGGATGAAATGATTCAGATCTACCCACGGTTCATCAACTTTTACGAAGGACGACAAGAGACGGTGACAAAGAAGTCCAAGTCCAATCCTCGCTTCATGGCGTTCATGAAGGTATGTTGGCATATTGTGACCATTGTTCTTTACATTGAGGTTCTACAGCAACCATATTATTATTTCCTGCTGGACCACGCTGTGTTTGTTATGCTGCACTGTACGGTACACGGTACATATAATACGATTCAGAATCCACCTTGTGTGCAGAGCCTCGAGCAATTATAGCAGACAATTACGAAGCTGCATGGCACCGGGTATGCTGCTGAATACGTAACAGAGTCATTCCAGGTGCCTTTACTAATACTATAGCTGTGTTGCACCACTCATCTGACATCCCTATGTACCATTCTCTGTATGACAGCATCGTCTGTCTGCAGTTCTCTTTATGACATCATTATTTGCCTGCAGTCTTCTGTATGACATGATCATTTACCCGCTGTTCTCAACAAACTGTGCACCCGTATCATTGTCCAGTATTTTTATTCATTTCTCTCTGTTTCCTGCTCTCAGCTTCGCTATTCCGAGGCAGCAAAACTCCATGGGCCGTTCTCTAAACAGACATTGACGGAGCTGCTCATTACTCCGGTTCAGCGGATGCCGCGCTATCTACTTCTTTTAGAAGGTACCTTTTGCATCTTTCTCGCTAGTTGCATTCTCCAGATGTTCGATATTGAAATGAACGGCATTGCCTCGTACATACTTCGAAGTAGTTTACAGGGATCTGGAACTAGAACCTAGCCTTTCTCCATACGCGCAGCACGCTTTTCTTGGCAAGTTTCAGTTGGATATATCAGGGTTCTATCGTCGTGAATGTTGTGGTTGTGGACACTCGTTTCTGGTGCACTGGTCCGTGCTCCACTATTCACATCCAATTATTGAATGCTTTGTTTGTATGTCTGTGTCTGTATGTTTGCATGCATGTGTGTATACCTCTGGAGATTGAATATTTCGGTGTGTATACCGGTATGTGTGTGCATACACAGGTATAATCAAACTAACCACTGACGATCATTCTGACAAGGATCAGTTGAGGAACGCACTGGCAGGCTTCAAAACAGCGGCACAGTGAGTTTCTTTGTGATAGCAATGCAATCAGACCTCGTTGCACAATGTACTGGTAGTGTGTAGTGTATGAGTCTGATTGTGCCTGGTCTGGGTTGTGCATGGGTTGTGCCAGGCCTGGGTTGTGCATGGGTTGTGCCTGGCCTGGGTTTTGCATGGGTTGTGCATGGGTTGTGCATGGGTTGTGCCTGGCCTGGGTTGTGCATGGGTTGTGCCGGGCCTGGGTTGTGCATGGGTTGTGCCTGGCCTGGGTTGTGCATGGGTTTTCATGGCTGTACTCTTAGTCTACTGTGTATGTGTAACTTTCCTATGGACACTGTGGCAGGCGTATCAACGATGACAAGCGCATTGCCGAAGGGCGGATAAAGATGCTTAGCTTACCGAACCTTGTTGAAGGTCTTCCGGTAAGTGATGTGATTCACTGTCTCCTAGAAAGCTAACCCCTGTGTTAACTGCTGCATGTATGGGGAGGACCCTGTGTTATCTGCTACATATATGGGAGCACCCCTGTGTTAACTGGTACATAATAACGTTATTGGAAGAATCTTCACACCATAATTATTAATTATGTTGAACCCGAATGTGCCACAAAGGCTTACTTTGATTTGAGTAATTTTCAAACCAAAACGAATTTCCGTATGTGAGCAGTCAAAGTATGTCATACATTGTGAGTATGAGTATGTTCAAATGCATCCCATGCTTTTACCTCTCCGCATCAAACCATATTTGTTTGACTTATCATGAATTTCTTGGTTGTATCCATGATTGGTATTTCTTGCAGCCGACCACCTTATCCAGCTCACGGTCAATTATCGAGGTGATGTCCAACCTGTATGTGGTGGAGGGCTCCGACAGTGGTGGCACGGTGGAGATTCCCGTCTGCATTATCATCTTCAACGACAGTGTGGAGGTAAGGGCAGCGGACGGTGTGTGTGCAAGAACAGCTCATGACCACCCGGTGGCATGACTGGCTTTATGTTAGCCACGCAAGTGCGCAGTGTATCATTCACGCTACTGCCTTGCAGTTTAAACTTGTGGTGACTAACTAATCTTTAAAAATCCTGGGACCTGCCCTTCCTCATCCGCAGCAGTATTTATTCTGTCTTTATAGGGACCTTTCGCTAACGATTTTCGTTAATTTTCCTTAGGTCTGGATTACGTACCGAAGTTTCATAAAATTTTTGTTTCGCTCAGCATGTCCACATTTCGTTGCGTTGTTGTCGTAGCAACATATTTCTCACCGGCGGGAGATTGAAAACAATTTTACGGCGTACCTTTTTGTGTTTTCTTCTTGTTTAAATTTCAAATTTCACCTTTGAGAACTCAATCATCAAAATTCAAAATGCTTTTATCTCTGTTCCTTCTTTCGCTGAAGATTTCTTCGAAAGGGTCCTACAAGCATCGACTCGCATCTGCTCGGCCACAGCCTTTTCCGCATGCTTGGCTGTCACCACTGCCACTGCGGCTTGCTCCTTCTCGGCCTTCAGCTCCTGTAGCTCGGTTAGAAGCACGTCTGCTTCGGAGAAGTCCTCTACAATACCAGAGGCCGATTTGCTTTTGCTATCTTTGGATTTCTGCTTCGACATCAGCAGGTGCAGCCTATCTGAAGCGCCTTTCTTTTAAAATTGCCGAACCGCCGGTCTTGTGAGGATAGTTCATCAACGAATCATCCATTACGGACGAACCACGGACAAAAGGATTTCCTGATCCACGAATCTGTCTGAGCAGGACCAAGTCCATGCCTGAGTCCCAAACTATCCGTTGCCTATCCGGTGTAATAGGTGTCGGAGGAACAGGTGCAGGCAAATTTGAAGCCATAGTACACTGAAACGTTAGGGCTAAAAGAAAGAGTAGCGGGAAAAGTCTGAAAATCTGAAACAAATCCCGCCAAACAAGAACGAAAGCAATAATCGTTGAAAGTGGCTTTTTCCGTCCAGATCAGACGAACCTCCGTAAGATCTTCGTAACCTTATTCCCGAACTACGAAAATGGTGTACGAAAATCGTTAGCGAAAGGTCTCTTATATCATATCTGTTGCAGGTTCGGCCTCATTTTCTCTGTGCTGCGCTGATGAGTCCACAAAGGACGAAACAATTCTGTCCGCAGATTGAGTATCATATCTGTTGCATATGTATAGCTCTTCACTTCTCCTAATCCCAAGGCCGTCCCTTTATTCGCAGTAAAGAGACCGCTGTGGAGGTTGGAGAAGTGAAGAGCTATACATGTGCAAGTGGCTGCGTTGGAGTTTATGGACGATTCAAAAAAGTATGTCTGTTGTCCTTCATTTGTATTTAATACCAGTACGTGTTTCTCACCTCTAGTTCTATATTATATCCTTTGCTATGTGTTTCACGTGTGTACGTGTATATGTGTGTTCATGTGTCATGCTTGTGCCTGCACTGCTGCTGCTACACAGATAGCAAAGCGGAGGGGACACTTGGAAAGCATATCACTCGACGACTTCAATGCCAACAGCTCACTCCGAACATCTGGCAAGCGAGGACTTCGGCATATCGACTTCTTTCAGCTGGGCGAAATCAAGAAGCTATTGCGCTATTTCGCAGATGCCGGTTAGGGACTTTGCTGGCTCCTATACTCTTTGTGCAGTTGTGTTTTCTGAACCAACTACACTCATACCTCGGTTATCCGGACCCCGAAGTTAGTTACGGGCACTTTGGTCTACCGGGCACCCTTTGGGCGAGTTTCAGTGGAAACATTACCACTCTTTTGTCACTTTTGCGGAAATAGTGACGTCACATGCCATGTCTATGGCCTTTCCCGGAGGATCCCCATCAATATGACGTGATTCGGAGTTACGGGCAGTGCCCGGTCCTGGACCGACCGGGTAAACAAGGCATGGGTGGACTGTGCTACGTTATTTAAAAGCGTGTGGTTGTCTTATTGGTCAGAACTACAGCCGCGTGGCACTTGTGTAATGTACTTCAGAATAAGAACATGCTAACTGGCAACGTGTGTGTGCTGCTGTGAACGTTATGCTGTGATGGCGTGCAGAGCAATCTACGGACCTGTTTGGTATATCTGTGGCAAGCTCTACCCATGGCAACTCTCAGGAGCAGTGGATCGTGTTCCGTGCTGCTGGTACGGGTGCACAAAGTGGCAGTGAACAAGTGAAGAGTGTGATTGATGCACTGCTCAAGGCCAGGGAAGGCGTCATCTGCACTGATGCTGTACGTACCCCTACTGCTCCACCAGCTGCTGTGTGTCTTGTATTGTATTGTATTGAATGATACAAGTACTGTACTGGATACTGCAATGGCAGTGTATGTGTGCGTGTGTGTGTGTGCGCGCTTGTGTGTGTGTGTGTGTGTGCGTGCACGCGTGTATGTACCAGCGCATCTAGTGTCTGCTTTCATTAAAGCAGTGTGCTGTCTATACTGGTTACCCCAGCAAGTGCAGAGTGTGCATAGGTAGCTGTCTTGGCTGTCCTATTCCAATGTACTCCGTGTGGTGTAGAATAGGTGTGCATTGAAGGTCGATTCACATGTGTTCGCCGTAGTTGTGTGCATCTGCCGCAAGTCCCGATCTGTTTCATTCAGATCTTCTCTGGTAGTGTTGCTATGAGAGAAATACTGTGGGTGTACATCCAGTGCGCTTGCAGGTTTGCGTTCTTTTCTTGCGACGGTCGTACAAGGTGTGTGTGTGTCCGTGTCTGTGCGTATGTCCTGCTATTGCTGTTGCTACTGGGCAATGCCACCCAAGGAATGGATTTGATGACTTATTGTTGGTCTGTCTGGGTTCTTTTCCTTGCAGGATAGCTTTATCCAATCTGTATCTCGCTCCACGCTGCCCTTTTTCGACAGCACTTCAAACGAGCCGCACACACCAAACGGCTTGTCCAAAGCAATACGGTTAGTTTGTATGTGAATACTGGTATTGTATACAATTTACAACATGGTCTTAAGACTGGTGCGTCGTGCCTTTTTGTTGCAAACCTTGTTACTCGTTGCATGATTGCAAACCTTGTTACTCGTTGCATGATTACTCAAACGTACACTACTCAGTACATCATGTATGTGCTTCACTCAGTCTATGCTCTGACTGCCAAATATGCTGTTGGCGCCACTAGCGCTATTTTTCAAGTGCTATTTTTGTCAATGCTCTGACCGCCAAAGTACCAGTTATAAGGACTTGCTTACTACCTTGTTAATCACCATTGTATTCGACCCGAAGAGTAATTGAATGAAAGGCCTAGTCGGAAAAAAATATGGCTTCTGTGCTCCGTGTGCTGATTTATTCAGTTTACTAGTATTGACCATCCAGCATCATGGGAAATTGTGATTTGATCTGTTGCCGGCGTGTCAGCATTTGAAAATGTGAATGAGTTCAACCTGCAAACCACTGTTTGCTTCTCTCTCACATGGCGTGTTTTGTTTCTTCAGGGGTGCAAGATCTAAAGCGCGTCGTGTTACACGCGTGTTCTCACACCACTTCCATAACTAGCTGCTGCTCCGCACAGCAGCATGCTAGTACTGTCGGTTGTGTAAGTGCATGGTGCTCGTCACAGCATGCGTATTGTGTTACTGCAGACCTACTTACTTACCCCCTCCCCTCCCTCCGTTCCTTCACGAATGTTGTGTGTTCAGTTGTCTATGTACTGACCTACCTTGTTTTCACCCTAAGAACTAAAGCAGTTCTACTACTTCAATGTGCATATTACTCCTAGTACTCAGGGGGTGATCTTTCATGTTTTCTTTTCCTTTGCTTTCGCTAACAAATTTTCAATTGATTGATTCACAATCTCCAGTTTGCATGTCCCGGTGAACAGTTTGAGTAGCGCGCTGTTTTCTTTATCATTCCCAACTACATCTGATCTATCATCCGATTATTATCTGCTGCAATATATGGCTGGCACCTGACTCTGAAACACTCAACTCTTCGACACAGTGCACTGTTGAACATGCAGTCAAACCTCGCAAGGACGAACACCGATAAGGCAAACTTTCCTTTAGTACGAACTAGGGCCAATCTTTTGGTTGGCCAGGCATCATATCAAGTCAAATTGTTCGTTTATGACTCCTGTACGACGAGCTTTCGTGAAGACGAACTAATGTCAAGCGTGATTTTTAACAAAATCAGCATGTAGTACGAACTTTCGGGTCCCCATGGGTGCGCTGGCTGTAGTTTTTCCGATAGTCGAGGCCTCTTGTACTGGCAAAACATGTTACAAGGCGGAGGCCATGCTGTCATGAATTCATTGCACATTATACTTACATGTTGCAGGGTTATGTTGTGAAAAAATATTTTACATTTGCCACAGCATATACCTTCACATATATACAATCCATATGATATGCATATCAATTTTTTTGTCAGATCTGGATCAGAAGAATTCCGGATAAGACAAACAAACTTGTCCGGTCCCTTGAAGTTCATCCTAGCTAGGTTTGGCTGTAGATCTACATGTACACTGGGTGTGGCTTCAGTAATGTCTGCACACTGGTAATACCGCCGCTGCCGCATGTTGGTTTCTTCTGTAGTATCCAAACACCTTGTTGGCCTGGGACCGGACTCGGAATACTTCGGATGACCGAGGCTTACTTATTTCATAATCCTGTCCCTCCAGGAAATCGCGATCCCACGGATGCAACAAATTTCGCGATTTTGGCCCAAGCCCGCGGTTTTCTGCATAATCCGCGTTTTTGTTGTTTTCTGCACTTTTTTTAAAACATTTTTCTGTACTTTTCCCGCAGTGCTTTCCTTGATCATGTTTTTTTGCACAGACTAGACTCGGCTCGTACTACTCCCGAGAGAGTGGAGCAGATCTACTGCCTAAATAGCGATTCTACAGATGCAACAAATTTCGTGATTTGGCCCAAATCCGCAATTTTCTGCAAATAATTCCGCGAATTCCTGGCAAGTTCCGCATCTTTCCGCACTTTTCGGCGCATTTTTCGTTGCTTTCTGCCGCAATTTTTTGCGCAAGTTTCGTGACTTTTTCCGCAAATTCCCGCAGGGACAGATAATCTTGCACCGCTCGTATGCGCTCTCACAGCTTTTATGGGGACAAACTCACAAAGGATTCTGATCCTTTTATAGCAAGCCGGGGGTTTCTTTGACCCCGGCTGTACTACATCACCATTTTCACTACAATGGAAAGGGGCTTGAAATCTGCCAGCAATCGTGACGATACTGATTTTTGGATCCATTTTGCTCCGGTTTCTATCTCTGTCCCCGGGGAAAATCGCGATTCCGCGGCCGCATTTTTTCCCGCGTTTTATTGCGATATTTTAAAAGACCGCGTTTTCCGCGATTTTTGAACTTTTTTGTTGCACTACACGTACACACAGTGCACTGTACGGTTGACCGCTGTGAGCCGTTGACGCCACAAACTGGTCAAGTAGAGTCTATGTGTAGGGCGCGGGCTGGTCACTGTGGTGGCGCTGAAAGCACCCTGCTCTGCGCTTGACTGCAAACTTGCCGCATATCAATAATATTCACCGCATATTTACCGCAAATTATGCCATATTTACCCGCAAATTCTGGGATTTTTTCCGCGATTTTCCCCAGGGACAGCTATCTGGATACAGGCTTGTTTGCATCGGTGGTTTCCAGCTTTCTTTCGCATTAGGGTGACATATCCAAGTTATACATGATTATACGTGCGAGCCCAATCACTCCTGATAAGATATGCGCTTGGTGACCAGAATATTCTTGCACAGACATCCCCTCGTGGTTACGTGTACCGGTTTTTGTTGACCTTATATGGGATCAGCTGTTATAATTCGTATTTTGATATTTAGCTAACAAGTAACATAGCAAAGGAAGCTAGAAGCAAAGTGCAATGAGAGCGAGAGTAAAGCGCATGCACATGTTTGATGCCTTTTAGGAAATACTAGATGTTACGTGGGAAGCTAGAACAAATGCTAAATGGAGACTGTCGGAGAAGCTAAAACAAAAACATGCAAACAAACTACCAGTGCAATGCGAAAGTACCTCACAGTATAGGCTAGGAGTTTTAAAACAGAAGATCTATATCTTTCTTTATACAGAGAAATCAGAATGAGTCAGAATGTCTTTTCGTAGCAGAGAATGGAAACCATACAATACAAATGATAGATTACTGAGCTGCTAAATAGTCCAACTGATGTGCTAAATAATTTGCTGCAGCCAAGGAAAATTGATTCTAATGGTAAGTTTCTTCTATGTAGACTAAGTACTCTAATAAATTTGGTCTAAAATCTATCTTTTGTCAGGATCTTGGAACTTTTGTAATTCTAAACAATAGATAATACTAACATACTGTGTGGAATTTGAGAGGAAATACTTTTGAAATTTATTAGCATGTCCAGGTTTTGCGTGTCAGCAAAGAGTGCACGTTTCAGAATGGTCCCCATGAGGCAGATTGCAGCCGTCGGTCACCTTCCTTCACGAGTGGACGGTGGAGAGCCATTGTCGGGTTGGTGGCAGCATGTACCTGTGAACAGCCAGGAACAATAGTTTCTATTAGACAAGCCAAAGTTGCCTCAGTTTCTCCACAGGGTGTCACCAGCAACACATTTTGATGCGACACTTCAGCGAAAGTGATTCTGGCCATTTACGACTTTGATACTGTTTCGAAGTTGGACTATGAATGCTGTCTGCTTGCCAGCATCTCCCACTGATTTCATTTTGTCAACCAAATGTTCTACGGCATTCACAAACACTACAACAAATAGACAGAAATGATAAATTTAGTCTCCCTGTTGGTATATTGCTGATTGCCAGTATTGGGGACGAGCATCACCAAGAATTCTCTTTCTTCAGTTAGTTGCAAGAGTTAGGCAGCCTAACTAATACCACGCACCACAACTCACCTCAGACCAGCAGACTGAACAGAGGTAGGTGAGACATGTAACATGGCCGCAGAAGTACGGTGCAGGCTGATTACAACACCGCGCACCGCCGCAGTTGTCACACATCATGTCATCAAGCACGTACGGTTTGAGCTCCACCTGAGAACAGACAGCAACGACCAGAAACGCAACGTAAGTAACTTCGAGAATAGGAGGTTCAAAGAGAGATTGCATGCTCGTAGTACTTTATGTTGGTCCAGCCATGCATGGTTATGGGATTTGGAGGGAAAGAGCTTCAAGATGTGCATTGTATGGATGTGTCCCGACGAGGAGACAAGGAAAACATCTCCAAATGTCCATTCAGTGCCCTCGGTCTTGGAAGAACCTCACTGCCAACTAAAGAGCATACACAAAGACAAAAAAACTCACCCTTTTCAGGACATTTCCAAAGTTGATCTGGATGAATCGCGTGTTGATAGCAGCCATGTAGCTAGTGCCAGACGAGAACGTGACACGTCCAGCCCCTGAGCATGGTGAATATAATAAAGGCAATAATTTATCCAATCAATCTAGTCTGTAGACTTTTAGACTTTTTGTGAAAGGGAAAAGAACTATTAGTGTGTATTGTTTTCTTTAGACCAATACACATGGAAGTGATTACACTACATGTACAATTGAGCACTTTTACATTCCACAGTTCAGACCCACAGACATCTACACTGCAGAGAAATAAATTTAATTCTGCAAGACCAGTTCAAAATAATGTAGAAGTGACTAGTTGCATAACTGATCTGTGCTTTTACGAAAAACACTTTCGGCTTCCAATTTACCTTTCGGATAGTCATTCTCGTTGTCCGTGTCAATTCCAGCATAGCAGACATTTCCGAATTTTGCATCGATGCTTCCAGCCAGATCAACAGCCCTCAATGGTCGCGGCACACCACCAACAAAGACAGTTCTACGTGGATCAATTTTGGCATTCGTATCATAGTAGTAGTCACTGTCGGAGATGCGCCATGGCCGGATCTGCACCTGTGGCGTGCGAAGGCAGAAGGCAAACAGCAGAACATTGTCAAGCTAGGCTCTCCACGCATCCACGCTCTTCAGGTGGGGATGAACAAACACAGGTGCATCTGAAAATCATGCCATCGAACTCATACAAGGCCATAATCTGACGGACACATGCATGCATATTCATCATTCTGTTTGGACGCCTTGGTCGGGATGGCAGCATGCTTTGTTCTTTTTAGGGGGGGGGGGGGAGGTTGACATACCTTCTTGTTTTGCTGTGATTGGCTGGACACGGGAAAATAGTAGGAGCCATCTTCCATATGACACTTTGATATCAGGATATCCACTGATGATGCCTTGTTGTAGACCAGGAACGCATATCCTAAACAGACAGACGGCAAAGAAACATTGCCATATTTCATGTAAGGCCACACCGTTTTTTTTTATCTATGTTTCGCGTCCCCCGCGCGCATGTATTTCACAGCCGGAGTTTAAAAAAAAAACGGAACATTTTTTTGTTTTGAAAATGCAATACAAATTTAATGCAAACCCAGAAAACCGGAAAATGTAACTCAGCTCACGCACATGTACATTGTCATGTACTACGTGTGCGTGCAATAAGCTGGGCCGCAAGTCACACAATCATCATGTCGCCTGTGTTTGGGCCACAAGCATGGCAGAGGGGATACAGTCATGTATTCATGTACATGTCAATGTACATGGACAGTGCCGCGTCGCTTCACTGTACACAAATGCAATGCACGTACACTGTTTTTTTGGATGGCTTTTTTATTTTTTTCGCCCTCCCTCATTGATTTCATCGAATAAGGTGACGCGAAACATAGAAAAAAACGGCGTGGCCTAAGGAAATAAAAGAGGAATTATTTGTGGCATCTACATGTGCAGTATAAAATGCAAACACCCTGTGAAGTGGTAGGTTTTTTTTCTTTTGACCAGACGAAGCCCGGTGCCTGAGGTGGTATTCTTACTGCACATTATCCATGTGGCAGGACAGGGATCTGAATGCGAACCTGATGCAATCCAAGTAAACATCTACACCATCAAACTGTACCTTTCGGCGGAGATAGGTCGTTCGTTTCAGACTTGTGTGGCCAATCAACAGACACATTGCCACTGAAGAGAAAGGATTGCTTAATCTCATCTAGAAAGGAAAGAAAAGGCAAACAAGCAGTTACGGTTGCATTCTCTGTTGATGTTGATCTGTTATCACAATATGCCCCGTCGAGAGCCAATCAAGCAACACTAAACTGATACTGCCACCCTCGCCAGCAGTCAGGCATTTATACTGCCTCATGTGAAACACTACAGTGCTAATGACATTATACTGTGTATTACTGTGTACTTGCATGCAGTGGCTAGTTCTGATACTCATTACAATGACCAGAGATGCACTGGCCGCGTGGAAATTGTCACCGTGGTGGAAGTACTGTGCTACAAAATTACTTCCAAGTAATAACAACATGGTGAAGGAAGGAAGGGCTGAAAGATTATACAGTGTTCTGCATGACACACTTACGATCTTCGATATCCGGTGGCAGTCCGCCGATGAACACCTTGCGGGAGTAGATCTCGCTGCCGTCCTTTTTGTACTTGCTTTCGGGTAGCTTCACCTTGCTGCGTTGCATGGTTGGCATCGGTGGTGGTACCGTGTCCATCATTGGCAGTGCTGTCGGGGCCATGGGTACTGCAGCCAGCCAGAACAATGTAAGCAACCAAGAATACAATTATATTGTGGTACACTAGTCTTGAGGATAATATGTAACACTACATTCTACAGTACAGTGGTGCTACACCACCCAAGTCAACGGATATGTAGGAAGTAAGTTGTTTGATGCATCAGGGGAATAGTGATGGACGCTATTACTCCGCTCCTCCCCCCCCCCCCCATGGGTGGCATTTGAGCACTTTCAGCACACTGAGTGCATTCGTTTCTGATTATTACATGCACAGTGCCGAAATGCACAACATGACATTGAATTGGTGTCGCGATCAAGAGACCGGACAAGCTCGAAAAAGCGAACGTACCTGGTGTCAACGGTCTGGCTATCTCCGCTGGCATCGGCATATCGGGCTGGCGACGAGCCGCAGAACCACGCTGCTGGAGCTGCGGTGGTTGTGGCATGCCGGGTAGGTGAACGCCAGTGGGAAACTGAAATGCCGAAGCCGCTTTCAGGTATGCACTCTGCCACACCGTGTCATTCCACTGAAAAATGAACACACAGAGTTCAGCGAAAACCCCAAACGGTTATCAGTCACTGCCAGAAGCCGCAGACTTCAAAAAAGCCAGTCAAGTACATGTACAAGCGGTCCACGGAACACGGAATCATCACCTAAATCCTTCACACACCGACCGAACAAACTCCAAGCAAGCCAACGCAACAACAAATTGACACCCATGAAGCATTCTTTTACTTACGCTCGAGTTTTCCTTGTTCTGAGCTTCCGGAATTGTTGTTGTCGGCGTCGGCTTTCCCCAGAGGTTGAAAGTGAACGGGCTGAAGCCAGGACTGGGAAAAGGATAGGAAGATGGCGAGGCACGGTGGCCCGTGTTGGGACTTGCACTACTTCGACCAGATCCGGAGCTATCACCGATACCACTATCTGTGCCGGAAGGGGGCAGAGGGTATTTGCTGAATAAGGCAGTTGCTGACTGCCTGCCGTTAGGAGTTCGCTCCTCGCTGGAGGAAGAGGCGCTGCGGAATCCATTGCTGGAGCTACCATTGCTCGCTCTGGACGCTTGACGAGCCCGGAACGCCGAGGATGCCTCGTTTTGAAGAACAGCGCGACGACGCTGAGTTGGTGTGACAACTACAGGAGAAAATATGTCAAGAGTATTTGTGTCCAATTCCTCAAGAGGAACTCTGCCGGAAGAACCAAATGGTTCCATGGACCCAAACTCGGAGTCCATGGAGTCAACACTGCTCATACATGTGGCCATACTCGTAAGATTGTAGAGACAGTGGCAAAGATGGTAAGAAACACCAAAATACAGTTCTTCCCTGTAAGTGTGAAGAGAAGAAATTGAAAAGAGCAAGTGCTTTCCGAAGGCTTTATTCTATTACTGAACCCCTGAACCCTTGGACTTCTGACCCCAAGCTCGTGGCAGGTACGAGCTGAACCATGAACCAGGGATCCTGCGCATGCGCAGCGCTGCCCAGGAAAAGTATTTTCCCTGAGCTGAACTCGATTAGCGCGCGCTGCGCTGGCGAGGCTCGAGGCGCACATGTGAGTTGGCTCGTCGCTCCGGCCGGCAAGAGCAAGAAACTGAAGCCTGGAACCGAACACAGGACAAATATCTGCACATCATGTGCAAGATTTTGCATTATTGCAATGAGGAGGAGGTGAGTACGAGTGGGTAGGCATTGGCGGATAATGCTCGAAAAGGTGGCAAATTCTGCTCCAAAAGCAGTGAAATTGGCAGAACCATACAAACCTTATGGCGGGAAATTCCTCGAATTCTGCTCTATTTCTTTATCCACATACCAAACATGCATGAAACTTACCAGAAAAAGTACCGAATTCTGCCAATTTTTCTGCCGGCATCATCCGCAAAGGCCTATGAGTGAGGCTTCGCTCACGAAGGAACGAATTGAGGAGTATGTGCATGTGCTTGAGGACCAATGTGTCGAAGGTCCAAGTGGCATTTCCCAGAAACTCACTGGAATCATTCATTTCAAGGTAAGAGGGTCCATCAACTTATGCAATGTAATAGTTATTAATTAATGCAATTTGAAACTCGGGTATTCAGCCAATAATAAAAGTAGAAAGGAAAAGGACATATGGAAACGAGTTAAGAGCAACTCTCCACCACCGTAACTAGATACTATATACAGTCAGAAAGTGCAACAACTAGGCACAAAACTGACAGAGTACGAGCTCGTACTGAGACATTCGACGTCCTGACACCTAGCTTCAACACATCTCCGTAGCGCTAACCGACAGCCTTCCAACTACTTGGAAGGTTCAAGGTTATGGAAAGATGGTTTTGTGCCTAGTTGTTGCACTTTGTGACTGTATATAGTATCCAGTTACGGTGGTGGAGAGTTGCTCTTAACTCGTTTCCATATGTCCTTTTCCTTTCTACTTTTATTATTGGCTCAATAGAGTCAATACCCGAGTTTCAAATTGCACACCTGATGAGCCGTCACGAACCATACGGCGAAACGTACGTCGTGTGAAACAACTTGTTTTGTAGTCAACTAGTCCATCACAATGTCATGCATGAGGAGTACTGTAGGAGTTTGGCTTTCGGCTTGTACAATTCGTTCTCGCAAAGCTTCCCCCTTCTTTACTTATCTTTGATATTAAATTTTATGACCCACCCTAGTTGGGTGGTGTGCTGCTTTGCTGCTTCGAATTGTAGTTAGACCGCTTTGTCAAATCGCCTACTGGTCTCGTCATCGTCCAGTAACAATCGACATTCTTTGTTCCGTTGGGACTGTAGCTTGTGCTCGTTTTCGTTGCGCTTGCCTTCCCCTCATTGGTCTTTCCATAACCTTGAACCTTCCAAGTTGGAAGGCTGTCGGTTAGCGCTACGGAGATGTGTTGAAGCTAGGTGTCAGGACGTCGAATGTCTCAGTACTCTGGCAGTTTTGTGCCTAGTTGTTGCACTTTCTGACTGTATTATAGTATCTAGTTACGGTGGTGGAGAGTTGCTCTTAACTCGTTTCCATATGTCCTTTTTCCTTTCTAATTAATGCAGTGTTACCTTTATCTGTGAGATATTTACTTGGAATTGAACTGCAAATGAAAGTGATAGTACATTTCTACATGTATATAGCAACTCGACTCTTTCTTTACATTCAAAGCAGAATTTCCAGAAGGACCGCGTGCCCTTGGAGGCAACAACGGCGAACCTACGGCACTACGGAACGAGCGCCGTGAATACCTGGAGTGAGCCTTTGGGTAATCCTGAAAGATTATTGAAGTCAACAGCATCGACAAACTGGTGAACTGCAGAAGTGCACACAACCGTGTCGAGAGACTGCTCCGGACCATGGTCCAAGAAGGGGGCTTCAAGACAGCCCAAAAAGAAGTGAGTCATCATCGTTTCCTAGAGTTAGGTTCTTACGCAAACTCTTCAAATCTATGCCCTTCTTTGAATATGTCCCAAATGAATAACCCTGTACTTGGTATTGTTTGACTTAGCCAGAGGTTCCCGATTTTTCATTTCAATACAGGAGAACCTTTGCCGTGATTATCTCATGACAACGCTCACTCTGGTGTAGGCATGGGCGGGTAATGCTAGCATTAGGGCTGGCATTATAGTCCCTTTTTCCAGGTGGCATAATGCTGGCATTATAACACCATTTCGCATGCAACATTGGCATTACAAGCATAGTAGCCGGTCGACAACGGTGTCATGCATGAAGCTGGCTAGGTCTAGTTCCGAAAATCGTGCATCTGAACCCGTCCGGCTTCGTCCGGAGACTTGACGTTGCAAACCAACCTTCTCAGTGGATTGTCAGTGGAAGCTTCCTCACTGCTAATTAATTTTTTCTTCTTCTACGCTTTGGCCTTGATCCAGGACGCCCTTCTTGAATCGATTTTTCCAACTTTCAAACTGGCATTATTGAGTAGTGTGAGCATTATAAGTGGCATTATATCCTCATTATTATGAGCATTGCCTTTAGCATTATCGCAGCAAATAACTAGCATTACCCGCCCATGCCTACTCTGGTGAACGCTCAACGACCAGGCCCTGTGTGCAATATCACCATGGGTGAAGCGAAACGAGGTAAGAAGAAACCCCCATAGCAATAATCATATTATGTTAAAATTTACTGGGACCAATACCACATTCACAAATGAACCTGTCAGTTGTCTTATGGAAAGAGAAGAGGATGTCTTCCTTGCATTTCTAACAATACATCCATTATTAATTTTGTTTGTTATTTGCCTTTAGGAATCCTGTATTCGAAGAAAAACCCGAATCAGAGGATGGAAATAAAGGTTTTCAGATGAGTGAAATTCTGAGTAACGGCAGAAAAGGACTTGTCACACACATATACACGTACATACATGTACATACATCTCACCTTTAGCATTCCCACACTCGAAACTTTTCTTGGATGTGTCGTGATAGGTTTCTCTTCTCCTGCTCTGCTGTCTTCTTTCTAGTCACCTTACAAGTGACGACTGCCTGGTTTTCCAATTGGGTGACCAAGATGAGTGGCCCTGTGGGGTTCCAGAACATTCACGTGGCTGTATCAATTTTGTATTTTTATATTTCATGATTTGCCTCCCTTTCCTCATCAATGCCCTGGTGATGCCCAACTGATGGTTGACATATTTGCAGTCTTCTTCTTTATTTTTTATTTTTTACAAAGGATCAGTCAGGGAAGTCAACTGCCTGCAATTCTTCAACATCTTTTATTCAATTATCTTGTGCAGCTGAGAGCCTGTTCGTGGGATGGAGAATGGAAGTGTTTAGAAGTGGAAGGAAAAGGCTGCAGTGGACGGTTGGAGAGGAATGTACATGTAATCGTACATGTACTATGATGACCCCAGGAAAACAAGTAAGTTACAAGCCTCTATAAAGGTGACTGACCATCTGTTACGATTACAAACATACGCTAAAAATTGTTTGACGCTTCGTGCAGCTTCATCGGAAATGCATGTACATGTACATGACTTGTATACTGTTGACACCAACACTGTCTGACATTCAACCAGGGAGGGTACTAGTAACATACACTGGCACATACGACTTCCTGAATCAACGCCTAATTAATTTCATACAAAGCCTTTTCAGGTCAAGATGAAATCGTTCAACGTTTTGGGTAGTTCCTTGGTCCTTTTATTTTCTATAAATTTGCCATACATCATCTACAGTGTACGTGTAATTTTGACTACTGGACCGGTATTTGTACAACGAACTAGATGATTGTATGAACACAGTCATGGTGCCTTCGTCATAGCGTTTTTTTTGTTTTCCATGGTACAAAAGCAAAGCATTGAGCAACAAAGGAGTGGAGCCGCGGACAACCTGACAGGAACTTGAGGAAGTGAGTCTGACTCAACTATTACTTGTGTGTGTGTGGAACGTGCGTAAGCGACGTTGCCTTGTCAGACCGGAATGACAGCGGGCGGTGGGAAGCACCTGTCTGTGGCTGGCTGTCTGGAATGCCGAGATGTCGAGATGTCAGCTCGGTCACCTGATGTTGACATGTCGCACATGATGAGTACCAGCACATATCGTCCTGCACGAGCCTCGGGTTGGAAACATTCCTACACATCGTCGTTACTTTACGCTATTTGGTGCAGCACAGCTAGCTACAGACTAGTCACAGGTCATTGGAGTCCTCGGATGCCTGCATGCATCGCCCACACAGTCACACACCACGACCAGCTATGCCATTGACATGACATCACTGACACTAACTGAAGTTGCCATCCACAGCCAGGACGGCAGGACTAGCCAGGACTGGCAGGACCACAGCCGAACCATGTGACTTTTAGTTCAGTTCTTAGTGTATCTTACTTGAACCGACGGAAGACCTGCATTTGCATGACTCTACTCATTGGTGCCAGTGTGTGTGTGTGAGCAGAGGAACACTGACTGTGTAGCCAACTGATTACTCAATCCTCAATCGGCTATGTACAAAATGACTATGTAGAACAGTGTGCCATGGACGCAGGGTGTATACATGTAATGGGTCTGGAACTCTGGATTCATGCTGAAGCCTAGGAGAAGGTGTGACTGAAAAAGATAGTCAAAGTATGACGGTGATCAAGGTGATGCAGGATAGAGGCGAAGCAGCAGTACATCACTACATGTATTTCAGTCCATTCACCGAACCTGGGCCCATACTGGGCCGGTACCCATAGCCTAGGCATACATGTACATGACGCATTGTAGTGATTTGTACAAATCTAGGTTTTCACAGTCTCACTCCACTCTTATTCAAGATTGTGAAGGAAATGGTGCCATTGCAAACCGCGATGGAGTGTGTACGAGACTGGGACGACTGACATAACAACACTGTGCCAGGGCGACCAATACAACGGTACACGGCGTCTGTTCTCCTGTACTGTAGCCTGTACAAACCCCAGACACCATGTCCAATCACCAATGCAATGGTGTCAGATCAGTATCAAACCGACTTATCGTCATAACTCGACAGCTTCATGACTTCACGTCTACCGTCATTATCTGCTTTGTACTAGTTGTAGCACGCCAGGTCCTGTTCCTTCCTTTGTTCCAGAGTCAGTCAGGGGCTTTTGCTTCTTGCGAGCAGGTACAATGTCATGCACATGCAGTGAATAGCGTTATGTAGTAGTAATTAATAGTAGTAGTAATTTTATTTTACTTCATCACATGAACAGGCACCGATGCCTTCTCACCAGACCAATGGTCTGGCTCCTGCAAAATGGTGCAGAGTTATGTGATGGTGCTACATGTAGGGACCGGCGAATTCTGCTCGAAAAGCAGTGAAATTGGCAGAACCATATTATGGCGGGCAATTCCTCGAATTCTGCTCCATTTCTTTATCCACATACCACACATGCATGAAACTTACCAGAAAAAGTACCGAATTCTGCCAATTTTTCTGCCGGCGGAATCCGCCGGACCCTAGCTACATGTACATGTACATGTGCATGTACAGCCATGTGCTTGTATGCGATAGTAGGGAGAGAGGCAATTATACATGTATACGTACATGTACAAAGTCATGTTCATGTAGTTACAGATCGCTCTAGGCAACCTTCACGTACATGTACAACTGGTTTGCTGGTAGAGGTAGTCAATGGTAGTAGGGGACCCGAATATTATTAGGAAAAAAGATAATTGGGGAGGAGATCACCTTTGGTTGGCGCGGATTACTTCAATTTTGTTTTACTTGCGGGTCTGGAGCTGGGGAGTACACGCATGCACACCACTCACCTCAGTGTGTCCTCCGCCTAGGGACATGCTGTCCAACATTAGTTTTGATCTAGGTTGGTGCGACTTAGGGGCCGTCCGTAAATATCGAACTTTTTTCACCAAACGAATTATTTTAGTTTAGACCCAACCCCTCCCTCCCTCCCCCTCAGAACGTAAAAATTGTTGACATATACATGCATAATTATACAACAAAAGTCGCAAGTGTGTCCCTGCTCCTATGGCCATGTACATGTATAGAACTTTTCTGAAACGAAAGTGATCAACCCCCTCCCACCCCATAACGAAATTATTTCGTTTCGTGAAAAAAGTTCGATAATTATGGACGACCCCTTAACTTCGGCGATACTTCGAGAATTACATGTGCATGGACATGTATGTGTCGCTCCCTACATGAGACTGTGTCGCCTCGCTCTTTTCCTGCCGACTTGAATCTCACTTTACTGACTCACGAGTCGACTGCCATCCAGAGCACACGAGAAGTACTTCCACGAGCTCCAGTCTCCGCACCTAATCAGCTAATGTCCTATAATAGTTTATCCCGTATGTGGAATGCATATTTCGCTACACTGCACTCTACGCGATCGTCTATTTTTCGTCAAGTGTCAGACCCCTCACGACGTCTCCTCCTCCTCCCTGCAAAGGATGCTGTTATGCATGCATGCATGTTGGGATTGTTGCGGAAGTAAGGCCTAAGGCCGTAAGGGCCAGTGGGCTGATGAGGGATCCGGGTGATTGACGGGTGATAGACGAAGTCGATATGTGCATGCACCTCCTACCATGTAGACCTACCTGATGTACACTCGACCTCGGCATTGTACAGCAGACACGTAGATGAACGTCTTCGTACTGCATGACTGGTCGATCTAGAACTAAAAAGTTTTTCTTCAGAGAAGGGAGCTTCTTTTTCATTTCTCATAGTCCTTGCGTGGCCGTGGACGTGGAGGCCAGTTGCTTCTGCTGCAGAAGTGATTAGAAGTCGTGTGAATGGAAGCCGTGTTGCTGAGGCTTTGATCTCCTGCTTCTGACCCGTGTTTTGCGGCCGCTAGCCTGGACTCAGCCTAGGCTAGAGTCCTAGACTAGAGATCATTCCACGTCTGTCCTTTGTGCGAGTGGTTCTGATCAGCAGCAACAGCATAGTGTAGTGTGTAGACTTTTGTGGCGGATTCCTGTCCTCAGCGCTGCCGCCGGTGTTGGGAAAGAGGCCGGCCTGTCGCTGGCGTGTGTCTGCCTGCATTTCTTCTACTCTTCGATCAATGCTGATTCAAGCCAAGGCGCTACGCGTCTCAGAGCTAGACTAGCCTAGAGTCGAGAATAAAGGCTTTGAACTAGCCCGGCGCTGAAACGAGTGCCGCGCCGAGTGCATCCGTCCTGCGTACCTGACCTGAAACGCGCATTGAGGAGCAATCGGAAGCCTATCAATCGGCCTTGCTCGGGATTTCAGACTTCAGTGGCGCAGCGGATACAACGTCCTTCAGGCTGCAGCAGATCAGGAACTAGTATCTGCCCGTGCGGCGCAGCTGCCTGATCAGCTGAGTGTTTACTCATTTTCTTCAGCTGCCCCTGCCCCTGGCCTGGTTTGTGTGAAAAACTGAGAGCGGTGAGCGGAGCTTGCGGAGGTGTGAGCCTCCTCACGCGGTACCCGTGTACTACCAAAGCAAAACTGCTGACAGGCGTGTTGACTCAGGAGTAGCCTATTTTGACGAAAAGCGCCGCCAGTCGGAGCTCAAGTCCCGATGAGAACCAGTTCCCGCTGCCCGGCCGGCTTATCGATAGCTCTTTGTCGAGAAAATCATGGAATCGTTCTGGTCCACTAGCGTGATGAAGAAGAAGAAATTTCGCTTCGGAGTGGAGCTGAAGATCTCATCAGTGTATAACTACGCAACGGGGAGTGGAACTCTGTTCGCTAAAGTTCGGCTTGAGGAACGGGCGAACGGTGACTTCGAGGCGAACACGGAAAGGTTTGTCTTGATTGTTGTTATCAATTTTAGGATAGTCGATAATGCGCTGGTGGCAGTTTAGTTTTCGTATACGTCCGTAGTAGTTGCCTAGATTAGATGGTATTCACTAACACTACCTATTTATCAGGTCGGTGTATTGGGTGATTCAGAACTGGCGTCGTCACTCCGGCACGTCTGCTAAGACAAAGAGCCCAATCAGGGCCATTGTCAATATAATCCAATTAGCGTACATGTGACTGGCAGCTGGCTAAGGAGATGCGAGAGAGAAGAGGGTGAAAAGCACCACCACATCTCCGAATGTATCAGTGGGGCCATCTGCATGGTGTTTCTAACAATAATATTAATCATCATAACAATTGACTGGAAAGTGGAAATGATCATTCCCGTAGCTATGCAAAAAGACGTTACTTTAGTAACGTCTGGCGCTAGCCATGCGCCAGGGTCCATACAGCTTTAATTTAAAAATGATAATGATCATGATTTCAATTATAATTTTAATCATGTTGACACTTGGAACTGTAGTGCCATGTTCCCTTACGATGGAATTTTAGCATACTAGCGGCGGGCAGTGTATTTCTTTCAACGGGATGGGGATGTGTTGGTGCTTATCAGTATTTCGGCTTGCTATCCATGCCAGTGATCAGGCATAATTATGGTAAATACCGTACTGGCAATATATGTTGCCGCGTAACGCGTAACGCAGGGGGGTGCGGCGTAACGCGCGACCAGGCTAGTGCGACCAATTTTCGTTGCGTTCGTAACGCGCGTGCGGCGATATTTTCATTGCAGTTTGCAAAAAATGATGCGGCAATAGCAAAAAAATGATGCGGCAATGGCAAAAAAGTGATGCGGCAATAGCGAAAAAAGAACTGCGGCAATATAGAAACCTGTGTAAAGGCTCCTGTGCGACTTTGCATGTTACGCCCTGCGTGCGGCAAACATGTGTCAATGTAACGCTTCATGGCCTCACTGCGGCAACATATATTGCCAGTACGGTAGATGGTCAGGTAGATCTTCAGTTAGTTTTTAATTGCTTTCATTGTGGCATTGATGGTGCCCAAGTCGACGCAAATTGCGTTATGCTCATTCGCATAATATTATAAAAGTTAGCAAAGAGGGTGCTCTGCAAACGGCAACCGACTGCAGCGTGTAGCTCAGCGTCAGGTAGCACCCATCAACCACAGCCAGTGACATAGCGTGCAACAATGGTGCCCAGTTTGTCATTCGCACGGCAAGTCTAGACTAGTAGAGTTTGGTGTACTATATGATCCTCAACACTGAGTATCGTTCACTGATTTCCAGACACCTCAGTCACTTAGTGTCTTCCCAAACTCGACCCCAGCGTCAGTGTTTAGGTAACACAATTAATAAGTTCTGGTGTTTTACGATGTTAGCCCATCCCAATTGTGACAGTTTGCAACGTTCTTGTAAGTCTGTACAGCGCACAGGGACCATCGCTGAGTTAGATGTAGACAAATATCACCCCTTGTAATGGCGCAAACTACCCACCCGTACTCAAATTAGGATACTGTAGTATCATTTGCAGGAACGGCAAGTCAAACATAATAATGCTGCCACAATGCATAGCAGATGCTTTTCTGCATCCTGATCGGCATGCATGTACATGTACTTGTATATGTTTTCTATGGTGAATATGTTTGCCTGTCTTGGCTTGATCTGTGTGCGATGCCTGACTATGCTGCTCTTTATTTACTTCGTTGCATACAGAGTGAATGTGAGGAACCATCGAGTCACATGGGACCAGACATTCCCCTTCACCTGCAAGATGTATGCTAAGCCACAGGTTGGCATCCTGGAAGAGTGTGTCTTGCGCGTTTCTATCAGAAAGGTGAGAGGAGGTTGCATAGGAAAATGTCTAGGAATTCGTGTGAACAAGGAATTTTTAGAGCCCTCTATCAGTTCGTGAATGTTGGAGGGCTGGAGCCCTTGGGGAAAATATGTCTGCAGTCAGAGGAATTTTATTACTGATCAGTAAGTTAGGAATTAGGACTCGATGCCTATGTCCTGCTTCAGAAAGTGGTAAATGGGCAGCCTCTTTGCCACACTTGATAAGCATTAGTTCCGCCTCCATATCCCACATTTGAAGTTGTTATGACTGGTTGGACTCAAGAATCTTTGCTGTTGATTTAGCATTGGTGCTGGAAGGAAATGCACCTGGAGTGGATGTAGCTGCATGAATGACTTGCTCACTCTCAGGCTATGACTCAGCTAAGCTGTCAGGTGGTTTGCATCTGTTAGTGGTATTCCAGGCATGCAGGGTTGTTGAGTGTCTTTCAAAGCTGAATGTGTGCACTACAGTATCCCCAATGCGGTCTGTGATTGAGGCCTTGATTGACACATACTGAGGCATTTGACCATACTGAATTTTCCTTTACAATCTAGCTGGCTATGATTATGGGCTCCCTGCGCTCTCTCTTTTGCTCAATCCTTCCAATTTGGCAAGATGGGTTCATTCAGATATTTAAAAAAAAATGGTCTGGCTGCATTGCATTGCCTTACCAGATTTCACATTGGTTAGAAAACGGAACGTAAGTTGGCCAGTTCTCTTGTCATGCAGCAGTCAGCATTCCTGGATGATCATAGTATGTGGCATATGTGCTTCTCTATGTTTCTGTGTGCAGGAAGGAAAGACTGGAAAAACAGAAAAGGTGAATATTGCACCAGCTGGTCGTTTATGTTCATGCACCATGGCCATGATTCACGATGCATATCCAACTGGTGTATTATGGACACATGTTTAGCAATTGGTCTGTATCCATCTCATGTGATTCAGTCATTTTACCTTTCCCCCGTCATTTACATACATTGAAATGTGTGTACTGATTGGGATGGTGTAACGATCGTGTAACGATATCATTCGCGGATACTGAAGGACATGCGTCATGTGTGCTAGAATGGATAGAGGGTACGGTGGATGACTGGATAAATGTACCCCTTGCTGTGTGTGCGTTGAACAGCTTGGCTATGCTAGCCTCAATCTGGCTGAGCTGGCTGGAGTTGGGCCCAAAGAGAGACGGTGCCTGCTGCAGAGCTACGATGTCAACAATCTCAAAGGCCAGGACAACTCCATTCTGGTGATATCGCTGAATGTCACGTTGCAGCAGGGTGATCCAGTGTTTCTCAGGTACGTGAGGCCAGCGGTGCTACAGGCCTGCTTTGCCGGTCATGTACATGTGCATCATCCACTGTACAACATACTGCATGTTTTGTAACCCACTTGGTGCAGTGCATGTTTACAAGCAGAGTCACATGATACTTACATACACAACATACATCATACACAACATACACAACATACACAACATACACAACATACACAACATACACAACATACACAACATGCACATACACAACATGCACAACATGCACATACACACACATAATTATGTAACTCGTATACAGTCTCAGCACTCAAGACTCTCAAAGCACATACTTGTAGTTACGTAAGTAGTTATCATTCGGTCAATGTCTCACAAGGAGAAGAAGAAGACCAAGGCAGTGCGAGTATGCGCACAGCTATCCATGCATTCATACGATGTACTATTTATGTGTATACAAATTACGTGTCATAAAGTAGCCATGCTACACATACATACATACACATACATACATACATACACATACATGCATACACATACATACATACACATACATACATACACATAGCAGGAGAAGCAGTAGGGCCGCAGGACCTGAATAAACTACTGACAGGGTAGACTGCAGATATCAATGGATGGTCGTGCGGTCCAACTAGCGCAACGTGTACAACCGCGTGGGATTACTTTACAGTGTGCTTCATGGGAGAACTGAATTATCTCAGGCAAGTGTGACTAATTCGCTGTTTCTGTATCTGTCGCTCTGTTTCCCATCTACAGGCCCGTGTCAACGTCCCCGTCTTTCAGTTCGGTTGATCCAGAGCTGGATGAGAGGTCGTATGCGGGTTCATTGAAGTCATCTAGTGCCAGCGAACAGTCTGGCCCGTCACCCACATCCGGCAGTGGGTCTAGCAGGCCGCCGCAACTCTTCCAGAACTTTCTCTCCCGCCGCGGCAGCATCATGCCTTCAATTCTGACAAACAGCTTCATGCGAGATAGTAAGGGCGTGAAGGAAGCACCTGAGGTGGAAGAGAAGGAAAAATGTGGGTTTGGAGATGCAATTTCAATTGGCTCCAATGAGCTTTCTGCTGAGCTTTTAGATGTAGATAATACGCTTGTGGCTGAAGCTTCTACAGGAACTATCCTGGCAGGAACGGAGGCTAGCTTCTGTGAAGACAGTATGCAGCGGTGCTTGCCATCACCAGCAGAAGCCACTCAGAGTCGCCATTCACCAATGGTTCGGCACGTTCCCGGGGTGACGGTGCACCCCACGTCGGTGGTTTCTCTGGACAGCGCTTTTGAGAGCACCAGCAGCAGCACGGCTCTGCAGCATTCCATGAACTGTGACCATCTGTCGTTGTCCTCCTCCACCAACACGTCCTCGCTGCGTTTCTCATCACCAGATTTAGATGAGTCTGTTACGGATGATCGGGACAGAGGGAGGCTTGCCATGTCCGCCAATGGCTATCTTGCAGCCGAAGCGAGCGACGCGTTTGGTTCCGGCTCAACCAGCGCTCCGGCCACCGTGCGGCGGGGCAGAAGGTAACTAGATGCTTGCGCAGTGCTTTGCTTTGTGACTTAACGTCATCCCGGTATAGGCGCGTAGCAGCGCCGCTGGAGGCAGTCCGGCCGGAGGGGGGTGCGGGGGTCTCCTCCAGGAAATTTTTGAAATCAGGGTGGCAAATTCTGCATTTGGGGCACTTTTGGCATTAAAAAAAAAAGTGATCCGGCCAAAGCCGGACCGGCCGGACCGGCTGCTACGTCCCGGCAATATGACTCACTGTGATATTGGGTAGTTGCTATCCATGACTACATGTAGAATGGAGATCATAAGATGCTGCGACGTGCATGCTAGCATGTGTGCTTGTTCACTCGTAAGTTCAGTGTGCATGTTGTTTGCCCTTTATTCGACCACTTTTCCCCGCCACACCAAAACAACTGCACTATATGACACCCTGCACTCTGCATGCAGGTAGTGTCAAGTATTTCTTTTTAAGTGTTCTTCTGAACGCTAGAATACTGTTGTTTGAGGAACACAGATACACAACTGAGCGTGGGTAACGCCACTGGTTTTAATATCATACTCATAAGCAGGCTTAAACAATTTGCAAGACATTCACTCTCCCGCTCTCGTGCGGCCAGTACGTGTGCCAGAAATCAGTTCGTAACTGTAGTCGCTGATCAGCTCTTTACATGTGTTGCTCTTTCTGGCTACAGTAGTTTCCGCCCTGATGCTCGTGGAATGGACGATGTCAAGTACAACTCTCTGGAGACCAGCAGCCGTCAAGGCAGAATGAGAAGGTCCAGTCGACCAGGAATTGGTAAGACGGTCGCCATTGCTACCGGCACGGAGAGGGAGAGAGCGTTGCACCGTGTGTATGTGTGTGTGTATGTGCGTGTGCGCGCATGTGTGTAGTAAACGGGGCTTGGAACATGTCATATTCCTTCCAAGGGTTTGGACAGGTGTCTGGGCCCAAGGAAAACCTGGTCTGAGCACTCTACTTGGAAAAATATCAATTTCAGAGTCCGTCAGAGTCATCGGAATTTACCCAATGTAAATTGTTATTGCACCATTTTGGCTGATTGTTTATCACCAATAACTGACACTCAACTGTAGCTTCTTTGTCTTCTTTGTTTGTGGTGGCTTTCTGGATATATCTGCAGAGAGTGCGAATCCAAGCTTGAAGAGCTCCGGCCGCTCGTCTGTGGTGTCAATGAATCGTGACAGCGTGGCCAGCATCCAGCAGACTCTAGACAGGACTCGTATTGATGCATCTGATGTGATTGACTCCTTGCTATCAAAGAGGTCAGTATGAATTTGTCAGCTATGTTGCTAGTCTAGTGCTCGATGCTACCGCGGTATGCATGTACTTTGCGCTGTACCGCAGCCAATTAAAAATGCGTTTCTCAGACAGCAGAGCCCCAGTGATACTTTAGGCCGCGACTTGAGTTCTCGTCCTCTCTGTGCATGTATTTGTGTTTCTGCTTGGTTGTAACAGCTCTGGAGACTTGTCAGAAAACAAGGAAGGGAAAGCTGGTAAGTCATCAACTGTTTACTTTGAGTACAATCATGTACTTTGAAGTACTATACTAGTACTATTAATCGTAATACTAAGTCTTGTACTTCAAGGGACACATGATATTCTCATTTGCAACAGGCTTACTTCAAGAAGTAGTTGTGAATCTTGTGAACATTCTCTCGGAAGCGTTCTGTGCAACAACTAACGGCGGGTAAAACCTGAATTTCAGCAATCACCCATGGGACCGGCCTATCACATTCAACGGTCGTAGGTGTCCTCTGAGGCCAGATTGACGCCTGCACGTTCAGCGCTACATAGTCACGACATGGTCCTGCAAACACTGAGGTGGCTGCTGAAGCCAGGTGGCCTCTTGATCAGGTGGCTGCTGAAGCCAGGTGGCCTCTTAATCAGGTGGCTGCTAAAACCAGGTGGCCTCTTGATCAGGTGGCTGTTGAAGCCTGAGGTGGCCTCTTGATCAGGTGTCATTTCACCGAGTCTTCAGTGCCAAACTAGAGCCAGCTTTCTGTCCAAGACAATTAGACTGTGACGTTTATTCAGCAATTGTGATGCAGATCTTGGTCTTTGTTCTGGCTCTCCGTTGTGTGTGTCTAGATCGTTCCGGTCTCCAGCTCTATATCGGTTCCGATGGCTCTACGACCGTTGGAGGTAAAACACTACACGATCGACCTATGTCTGCAGCGCATTACCGTAAGGTGGTTGTCAATCCGGACGCATAGGGGACCGTCTCAATATACTATTATAGCAGTTGGTAATCACCTTGGCCCACCGACTTCGCAGCAGCACTCCCGCGGGCCGGCTGTGTGCTGCACCTGTTTGCCATTCTGAGTTACAGCTCCAAGTGAGTCGTCATTCTTTGTCAAGTTGTCCCTTTGTACCGTGAGCATACCAGTGTTTTTTTACTATTGACTTGAAAATCTTGGCTCTACTATATCTGAATTCTTGATTTGGACAAATGCTCCTCTATTTCCTCTCAATTCAGTCTCTTCTATAAACAGTTGCGAAACATTGATTTGAGATAATTGATATTTGAGCTATGTCAGAAACTACGATGGCGTTTTTAAACTCTATAATTATGCTATGTCAGCGGAAACTATGATGGTGTGTAATATACAAAGGGATTTATTATTCTTTCTGCTACATGTAGTTGCATATACCCGTTTTCATCATGATTTCAATATTCCCCTCTATGATCAGCTTCTCGAAATCTATCACTGAGCGGCGTCAGAAGCCGCCGTGGCAAAGCGGGTCTGCCTGTTGTTGTGGGGGGGGGGGGGGGGTCAGCCTCTGGTCTGGTTTTTGTAGATCTTGGAACTCACACTGTAAATAATGGCCATCAGTCGAAAACCCCAGAGCCGCACTCAGAAATCTGAGACTTCACAAGAGAACCTGAGAAACCTTCGCTCGGAGTTCAAGTATCTGTGAATGTGACGTGTTGGATATGTACTGATAATTGCATGCTGGGAGTTACAATCATACCTATGCAGCCTACACTTGTAGTATAGCCTATAAATTAGAGAGGTTAAGATGCACGTTATTTCTGACGTGACGCGAAAGTTCAGCTCGCGTTATTTGGATCGCACATCGAAAAATCAACGCGAGTGATCTGCTGCTCACGTCGAAATTTGGAGTTTTACGCCAAATTTGACGTGAAATTGCGCGTCACGTCGGAAATAACGTGCACCTTAACCTCTCTAATACTAGCAAGAGTACATAACCCCCCAGAGTGTGCAACTCCACTATGGGTGCTGTCAAGAGTACATAACCCCCCAGAGTGTGCAACTCCACTATGGGTGCTGTCCCGACAGAATTTCAAGTTGACGTCATTTTGATGATGCAATGCGCACTGTACACGGATTACCAGACGAATCCGGAACCTGTGGTTGACCGAAGCAGATCGATCCTGTACAAATTATTGCAAAGAAAAACGTGTGATGCGTTGACACCCGTACACATGTTGTAAATCACTGGTGCAAGGAGCATTGCGTCATAAATAATGACGTCAACTTGAAATTCTGTCGGGACAGCAGGGTATGTGGGAGTTGCACACTCTGGGGGGTTATGTACTCTTGGTGCTGTCCCGACAGAATTTCAAGTTGACGTCATTTTGATGATGCAATGCGCACTGTACACGGATTATCAGACGAATCCGGAACCTGTGCACGTGGTTGACCGAAGCCGATCGATCCTGTACAAATTATTGCAAAGAAAAACGTGTGATGCGTTGACACCCGTACACATGTTACATGTTGTAAATCACTGCTGCAAGGAGCATTGCGTCATAAATAATGACGTCAACTTGAAATTCTGTCGGGACAACAGGGTATGTGGGAGTTGCACACTCTGGGTAGCGAGGTCAGGCGAAAATTAAATTTTGGAAAACCCTATCGAATTGGGTATCTACGGAAAGCTTAGAGCTTCAGGCGTTCAAATCTAAAATTTGGGCTGGGTTAGAGCAACTGGAAGAGAGTTATGGGTGTTGAAAGGAGCCCGACTACGTGATTTTTTTGTCGCGACGAATGTACGCGTGGGAGCTCGAAAAATGGCACCCGGCACTCGGGTCCCAAGTCGCGACGGAGAGTGCATGATGTAATCTCGCGTGTCACGTGCGTGTACTTCGCTATGCTAGCGGCACCGCTAGCGCTGGGTGCAGCACTCGAGCCGAAAACTATTACTTTCTGAAGAGAAAATGTTTGTTCCTCTGCATGAAGGGAAATGTGCAATTGTCTTCAAGGATCGCCAGTGCATGTACTATTTGCTGTGAACTGGTGATGGTAAGATATTTGGGATCCAATGACGAGTTGGTGGCAACGGGAGCGGTGGCTGCTGTTGATGGATGATGTCGGAAGAAGCGCTTTCTCAAGACAAGTTTCTGCAGACGATCAGGAATTTGAAAACACAATTGTGCTCGAACGTATTGTTTGTTCTGGAGTAGTACAGTAGAGAGACTTTGTTAGAGACATGGTCTGTGTGAAAGTGAACGTTCCTCACTTTCTCTCTCACACAGGTTATGTTTGGCTGACAACTATTTGTAGTGTTGCCTTGATTGAGTAACACTGACAGCATTGGAAATTTGGAAATAGTTTCCATTTCTGAAATGATGCATACAATTGGACAAAACTTTGTAAGAAAGACATAGCTTTCCGAAACAGTACCTGGGACCGGGACTGAAGTAGCCATCTCCTCACCTTCATCACCAACAAGCTTCTGAATAGATACAAAATGCTGCACACCAGACGCAAGCGAAGTTTAATCGGATTGATGGCGATTCGCTTGCTTCTGTTGCTTTTTAGATTGGTGCACATGCCTTCCCAAAGCAATCCTCCTTGCTGGACAGTGACACCAGTCGGGAGCCATAACGTCGGTGCGCCTCTTGTTACGCCAATGAAACTTGGTAGTCCGAAGGATTAGGGGGCGCTGAACACGATGCAGCAACAACCTAAGGCGTAACAAGAGGCGCAAGGACCGAAACCCGCCCTCGAATATTGGCAAAAAGCGAGAGACAGCGCGTCGACAGAGAAACGTCTGGACGCCGCGCGAACGGGTGGAGGCATTGCTCCATATCCTTACCAAAGGACTAGAAACTTGAAATCGCCCAAAAAGAGCAAGGAGACTGCACAAGCGAAGTTCAAACGCAGGTCAGTTTTGATGCCTCCCGTAAAAATCGAAAAATCGAGTAAAAACCTATGTGCCATGACATCATCGATTTTCAATGGGCCGGGGATGGTCCAAGCGCGACAAGCGAAGTCAGTGAACTGGTCACGCGTCTGACCTCGCTACTCTCAGCTCTGGGGGGTTATGTACTCTTGATACTAGTAATAGCAAGAGTAGATAAACAAGAGTGTGCAACTCCGGATCTCTCCTGCACAATCTGCAGATACCCCGCGCCCACGGCGGAATTTTTTGTTTACGTCACCTTTTTTCAGAGAAACGCGGCTTTGCCGCAGAGCAGTGTGAGAGCACGTGCTGGGCACCGACCTTGTAGTGTAAAGCCCAGCCAAGTGCACGAGGGAAAACTCTCCAAAAGGCTCGCAGCGCGTGCGTCGTCGAAAAGATTACGTCAACAAAAAATTCCGCCGTGGCCGGGCCAATCCATCCGGAGTTGCACACTCTTGTTTATCTACTCTTGGTAATAGCTATTTGTAGCCCATCATCATGACCATGCATTCATGGACATACATTATTACCAGACAGTCACATAGCTGCATGCTGCCTATGCTGGGCAAATAATTCGCAAATACTAGATCACGTGCACTTGCTAAGCCAACTGACGTCATTTTGCAGATTTTTAGCCGTTTGAAAATGAACAGTGTGTGAGTGAAAGAGAAAGAGGATCCAGCTCACTTTCAAACAAAATGAGGCAATGTCCTCCGATAACTGGGTGTGTCTAGAATGAGCGCGATTTTGAGCAGGCTTTGCTACATAAGGCAAAGTCCTTTTCTTGGTGGTGGAAGGCAAGTTCTGCGATATGTACCTGGATTGCAAAGTGCTCAAAGTCCTCGACTTTTGTGAGTACATGTACTTGTATTGTAGGTAGTCAGAATGTGTGTGAAGTTGTTGAGCAAATTCACGAGCCATATACAATGAACATGTAATGCACTGTAGCAAGTATTTCACCAGTACCTACTATGCGGGATAATCCGATTGTAGAGCGCACCCTTCAATTCAATGCTCTGGAGCTTCTAAATTCATGTACATGTAGTTGAGTTGAAATTATGTAATCTGAAGCCATTTCAAGTGCATGTAGAAGAAGTGACTTGGGAGTTGTAGAGGAAAACAAAACTGGGACACTGTTGAGTTTCAACTGATTGTGAGGGTGGGGGTTATCCTTGACTTCAATGGATCCTACTATGGCACGTAATTCCTTGTAAGGTTGCAAGAACCATACACGTACAGCACTGTCGGGCACCGAAGAACGGCCAGGCTAGAATTTCACCAATTTATAAGAACGGTCTAGGCTGAGTTTTTTTGCAGATGAGAACGGAAACCGGAATGTACACTATAATGTACACCCAGACGTATACCTCTGCGTAAATGTACATGTAAGACTGTACCATCGAATAAGAACGAAACCGCTATGTTCGCTAAAAATAAGAACGGGCTAGGCTAGAACCCTGACCCCCAATTCTTCGGCGCCCGACAGTACTGTAATACGTTGCCAGCACTTTTAGTAGACTCGTACATAAGAAGCAGCAACGCCATGGGCTTACACAATGTACAGAGAATGCTGCGATGCAGCGTTCCTCCTTTATTCCCAATCGAACATGGTTGAACAAGCGGGCAAGTGCTCCTGCGTGCCAAGTCACCTGGTCACCGCGCCAACAAGCGACAACTTTCACACCAAGGTTCAACTCGAGTTCAACTCGAGTGACAGGAGTGTGCCCTAAAAAGGTCAAACAGGCTGTAAGTTGTACCCTGCAGGCGCTAGGCTAGGCTGTCCCTCCAGGAAATCGCGATTCCACGGATGCAACAAATTTCGCGATTTTGGCCCAAACCCGCGATTTTCAGCAAAATCCTCGATATCCCGCGTTTTTTGTTTGTTTTCTGCACTATATCTCACATTTTTCTGCACTTTTCACGCAGTTCTTTCTACCTAGTTCTTTCCATGATCCTGTAGGTTATTTGCACAGTACGACTTCCGAGTACATGTAGATATACGATGCAAAATATTTCGTGATTTGGCCCAAATCCGCACTTTTCTGCAAATAAATCCGCGCAAGTTCTGCATCATTCCGCACTTTTCGTCGCATTTTTTGTTACTTTCTGCCGCAATTTCGTGCGTAAGTTTTCGAGAGTTTTTTCCGCAAATTCCCGCAGGGACAGGCTAGGCACGGTGACCAGGTGACTGGTGTACGCAAGAGCACATGACCGCTTGTTCAACCATGTTCGATTGGGAATAAAGGAGGAACGCTGCATCGCAGCATTCTCGGACCAATACCAGTCGACTCAGCGTCCAAAAGACTAGACATTTTGCATTCAAATCCCCATCTAGTAGGGCACAGTCACCCAGTTTCGGTGGAAGTGCGCGAGTTCGATTGGGAATAAAGGAGGAATGGAGCATCTCAGCTTCCTCGGACCAAGGCCATTCGACTCAGCACCCCGAAGACTACAACTGATGAACATTTGATTTTAGGCTTAACTTCCCTTTTAATGCGGGATTTGAAGGTCATGCGCACAGAGTCACATCAAGAGAGTACATAAACGCTGTCTATCCTCTTGGTCACACTCATATCAGTGCTGATCTACAACAGTTGACAGGCACTTGTGGACTGATGTAGGGACATGGGCTTATGCAACTTACAAGGAAGGATATTTTTTAATAAAACATGCAAACATGGGCTGAGAGGAGAGCCTCGAGGCCTCGTGACTGTAAGTTTATGGGACTTGTGCAATCAATCTGTCCATAGTCTTTTGCAAGTGTGTGGCAAAGTTAGCACCTCTGCCATGATTGATTGCCTTTCCGGCACCATTTCTACAATGCATGTCCTGTCCCAGCAAAGCGCTTGCATCATCGCCTCTGTAGTCTGTTGTAACCGTTATCACCTACATGTACGTCTCAGTGAATGCCACAATTCAAAGTAGAAAGTACGTGATTGCGACACTTTCGCCCCATATTAATTTTCTGTACCTCAAGTATTTCTTCGGGAGCACGTTATGGAGTGGCCGTGGAGTTCACTGAAAACCGAAAATAAATTCCAAGTGAAAGGTTGAAGTGAAACTTCAAGTAAATGCAATGCTTTTGCTACAGAACATGTGTACATTCGCAGTACTTCTGTAGTACATGTACTGTACGGACATTGAAATCCGTTCAGAAGTGAAGCAGCCACGGGGCGCTGGCCTTGCAGCCGCGAGCACTGCTGGTCCATTTTGACAGTGTGTACGTGATACATGTATACAGTACATGTATACAGTACATGTATGCGCTAAAAGCAGTAAGGGTGCAGGCCCCGTTCGTCCGATCGGATTTCCATGCCCACGACAGTACATGTACTTGAGTGGAAATGATACCCTTTGGTCTAGGGTCCTTGTGGTCCTCTGGGGCAGGTGCTTGCCTTATTAGAGTGCTAGTACTTTCGTTCACTGTAAATCGTATGATTTTAGTGAGTTAAAACTGCTGTTTGGAATGTTTCTTTGCTTAGGAATGCGGCTGGTCGCTTCAAGTCAACGGACTCCAAAGATGGACAGGTACTTTGTTTTTACCCGTATACTGTACTGCTGTCTGGTTGTTGGTGGTATACAGTAGTGTCTGGTGGCGAAGAACTGGGGAACTTCAGAGTCGTGGCCTAGGGCGTTCTTATTTTTCCATCTAGAAATCTCTATATGGCTGAGCCACCATGTACAAGCGGGTATCACGTGACTGGTGAAATTCTAGTCTGTTCGTTCTTCGGCGCCCTACAGTACTGCATGCGTAGATTGCAGTGATCTTATCCTTGATAACGGCGTCGAAAGATTGGCAGTGGGTGTGCGCAGTGTGCTCCATGGTGGAAATACGGTCACAGTGTTGTTATCGCGCTCTGAAAAGCTCACTGCAGCAGAGCATTCGAATACGATGGACTGTAAAAAATATGCAGTCATGTACAACTGCTTTCAAGTCATTTCCGTATCGTCATGCTTATGTTGGCTGGTTTTCTGTGTATGTGCATGTGCATGTGTATGGTTTAGGCAATGGATGTATCTACCTATCCGTTGGAGAGAACCCGCAACTTCAGCATCATAGCACATATCGACCATGGCAAGAGTACTCTTGCTGACCGATTGCTGGAATGCACTGGTGAGTACTGTAGACCACACCTACATTGGGAGGATTCTTTTTGCAAAATGCAGTCCTTATAGAATTATCGCCAAGGTCACTACCCCTAAAATGCAGTCCTTTAATATAATTATACGGACTCCATCTTCTGGACTTTCAGGTACAGGCCAAAACACCTCTGGGTTTCCATTGTCTTTCTGTTGGCAGCCGATTGGACGTCGCTTTCCTGTACGTTATGCTGCACTTTAAACATTTCCAATGTTGGGCTATACAGCGTTTGCGAAAAAACCCCTTAATGTATAGTATGAGCTACGGCTGCATCAGCGTGATGCAAGTGCGGAGTGCGCAGCAGCAACCAAACTACATGTACTATCAAGAGCACATAAACTCTTGGTACTATGGTTATTGTAGGAAGCACATTCATTCTCTGTGTCAACCTCAGCAAGTACAGTGCTGCAAGTACAGTGCTGCTCAATGAAATCCAGCCCAGTCACTGTAGTATGCGCCGGGCGTTGCGCAGCCCTAGACCTGTGAGCACTGGGCTGAGAAATGATGCAAGGCTCAAACTTGAGTGCCGCGACTGGATTTCATTGAGCAGGACTGTAGTTGACATTGTTCTACACTGCCTTACCGAAGCGAGTTTAGCTGTCTGGCGGTGTATCCTCCTCTGCCTTTCTCTTCCTAGCCGTCGAGAGAAGCATGCTGGCTCTTCCTTTGTGGTAGTTAGAAGGTGCTACTCAGCCACGGATTTCAATCGGGGAAGCGGGCGAGGATTATTCTTGAATACTGCATTCGGCTACAATTATAGTTGAATGAAGAATGTAAACTTTCCGCTCCTTGTTCTGCCATCAGCCCTAATCCAATACCAAAAGCTTCCGGAAGAGGCATCAAACATTCACTAGTTTAGCAACAAAACGCTGTTGCCCAAGTCGTTTAGCAAGTCCTTTCCGTACATTGTAGGGGTTACATGGGTTTCATGGTTTGCTTCTATTACATGGGGTAGTAGGCATGTGATGTCATTGAACACGCACGTACAGTTACCTGCCTGCCTCTTGTTATGTGTTTGTGTAGGTCTCATCGATGCTAGTGCCAAGAACAAGCAAGTTCTGGACAACTTGAAAGTAGAGCAGGAGAGAGGCATCACAATCAAAGCGCAGACTGTGACGCTATTCTACAATCACAAGGGAGAGGAATACCTCATCAACTTGATTGACACACCTGTGAGTCTGAGTCAGAGCGTATGCCTTTTTTGTATGCACTATGCAGCAGTGAAGCATGTCTTTTACGACCACTCCGCGACCAAGGTGCAGCTGAAATGATCGCTGGTGATCGCTGGTGATCCCTGGTGGTTTCAGAGGCACATCAGCAGCACATCATTGTTGAAGTCCATGGAGCAATCTAGTTTTATATCAGCCTATCACTTCCCACAAAACTCACTCTTCCATTTACACTGGTGCATGCCGCATTGTGATGACGGTGCACGTGGCCTTAGCTCATGAATAATGTGTGAATGTGCATGTACATGTACAGCCGGTGTTGGCCTCGTAGTGCACGCACACGCGCAAGCATGCATGCACACACACACACACACACACACACACACACACACACACACACACACACACACACACACACACACACACACACACACACACACACACACACACACACACACACACACACACACACACACACACACACACACACACACACACACACACACACACACACACACACACACACACACACACACACACACACACACACACACACACACACACACACACACACACACACACACACACACACACACACACACACACACACACACACACACACACACACACACACACACACACACACACACACACACACACACACACACACACACACACACACACACACACACACACACACACACACACACACACACACACACACACACACACACACACACACACACACACACACACACACACACACACACACACACACACACACACACACACACACACACACACACACACACACACACACACACACACACACACACACACACACACACACACACACACACACACACACACACACACACACACACACACACACACACACACACACACACACACACACACACACACACACACACACACACACACACACACACACACACACACACACACACACACACACACACACACACACACACACATATACACTCATACACCATGACATTTCTTTGGAGCCCCAGACACCGAGGATTGGTGATGGCACTTGCATGGTTTCCTCACATCATTATGTTGATCGTGGTGTTCTATTTGACTTATGGCTGATGTGCTGATGCTCTCTTGATTGCTGCTCTAGGGCCATGTTGACTTCTCGTACGAGGTGTCGCGTTCTCTTGCGGCATGCGACGGCTGTGTACTCTTGGTTGATGCGTCACAGGTATGCGCTACATGTACATGTACACGTAATGTGCTCTTTCCGGGAGTTGCTCCTGTCATTAACCCTTTGTAGCAAATACTAGTAAGGTAGAACATGGCCTTACAACAGTATAGCCATGTTCTATCTACCTTGTTTGCAAGGGAACTCTGCCCTTGTGAACAGAGGATTAAAGGGGGGGGGGGGGGGGGGGTGAATTGTTACTCTTTGACTTTTCGAGGAATTTCGTTTTTCTGAAGAGGTGGCTTACTGGCGTCAATGAATTTCAGTCGTCTCCAGCGGCTCTTGAGCAAAGCGAACGCTCTTTCGATAGTGACACGAGCCATGGATAATCGGGTGTTGAGCGTGCTTTGGCCTTGACTGGTCTGTCCCTTGAAGGTCACCATCATGTAGGTCTTCAGTGGGTAGGCAGTATCGCCAACATCTTCAGACAACAGCTGCAGCTGAATAGCATCCTCGTAGTTGGTTGGTTTAATTCGCACGAGGAGTTGAATGGGACTGATCAAGACGGCTCCAATCTCTTTTATCCCCATCCAGTTGCTTGAAGGCCAACCTGCTCTGCCTCGACAAGTAAACTCCTCTTCCTCCACATCCTCTCCGTCTTCGTCATCGCCACTGAGCAAGTCCAGTACAATCCATGTAGCGATGGCGGCAATGACCGGGAACTCATTGCACGAGAACCTTGTGCAATTGCGAATACCAGTACAGTACCACAGGTACAGGGAAGCGCACAAATGCACTTCCGACAGAATAGGACTCTTATGATGAGTGCCAGTACAGGGAAGCGCACAATGCACTTCCGACAGAATATGGCTCTTATGAGTGCAAAAGAATCGTTTCTCGACAAGTGAGTATTCCATAAAGAAACATAATTATCATTATTGACTCTTTGTCCCTAACAAATGCAGCCGTGATGATCGGGCGTAGCCGAGGCATGAACGTGTGTAGCTAACTACACATGAACTTCAAGTACATTGTAATAATGTACAACGGAACATGCACTTCGTACCGTACTTGTACGCAGCCGAGACACACCTACTTCGAGATGGTCGATAAGATCGAACGTCATTCAGTATCCATCACGCCAATGGACCGCGAGGAGTCCTTAGCAATTGCTTGTCGCACCCGGATGTCAAACTCCAGGACTGCTGCCAAACGATACTTTTGGGCAGCCTGCACCACCCTCAGCTGATGCTGCATGAGCCCGTTTGCGGTATCAGGCATGTTGCATGACACACAGTACTAAAAATTGACCAGGCCTCGACCCAGTCAATCAGTGATTCGATCATGCGCTTGCTGGAAGCGGCAATCGCCAGGACGATCTCGTTGCCATCTGTTTGGTTGATTTTGAAACGTTTGGCTTCAGGCTCCGAGTGGGCAGAGCGGGAAGGGAGCAGTGTGGCCAGCTCCACATAATCTACCCGCAGTATTTTCCTAATTTTTTCCCCTGACGCGTGCGCCACCCCAGTGGGTAGTTTGGCGCCTACCAACAACTCGGCATGCACATCATGATGGTCCGCACCTGCGTGATTCGCCGAAGGCCGATTCTCCGCACCCGAGCGCACGTTGGTTAGAGTGGATGCTACTGCCGCTGCGGTGGCCTCTGAGATGGCCTCGACCTGCTGCCTAGTAAGATCCATGCTGACTAACTAACGTAGATCTCCTTTTAGGTTAGGACAAACGAGAGAGGAAAAACCCCTGGTGTTCTGCAAGCTACAACAGTAAGAAGTGCCAGTTGTGTAAGACCACTCAACCATGGGGGCCTTCCGGATGATGCTGTGCTTTCCAGCATGCATATTTCCCTGCTGCTATGCCTTCGCATACCTGTATACGGTACGCCTACCAGGCTGCCTGAGCCCCAGAGGCTTCCCTGATGTAACCCGGGGTGCGGCCCAAGCGCCTGTGTCGCTTCCGTGATCCAAAGGCGAATGCGACCTTGCAGGTCACCCCCCAGGCTGCCGCGTACGCGACCAGCCTGGGGGTGACCCTGCTGCCTTGAGCGCTTGTCGTAGCTGGGATCCCGTAGGCGGCACACAGGGCTGCCGAATATGTCGCTGGCCCGGGGGCAAGCAGGTCGCACGCGGCAGCGGCATGAGCTGGGCGCGGTGAGGGTTGGTGATAACTACAGTTTCCTCCTCCGGAAACTTCCATTATCGCCATGACAATTCCACTGAAAAACTCTAAAATGATAGAAACCGTTCTAATGAGACACTTCAACTAATCTCTTCTAGGAATTGGTTTGAAAAGTTGATGAAGACAATTCGAACGCGCCCTACCATGTACAATGCTGCTCAATGAAATCCAGTCGCGTCAATCAAGTATGCCATCCTGGGCGTTGCGCAGCCCTAGACCTGCGAACACTGGGCTGCGAAATGATGCAAGGTGCAAACTTGAGCGCCGTGACTGGATTTCATCATGAGCAGCACTGTAATTCTACTCTATGGGTACATGTTGTTGTGTAGCTATACGTGTACTTGAATAGATACTAGAGTGTTGATTCAACAGTGTGCTTTCAAATTGCCGTGACTCTGTCAGGTTTTGATCGATTTGAGCAGTTGAAATCTCTAGGAAGATTAGAAAACTCCCCTAGCTGTCTGTAAGAACGAACGGCGATGTGATAGGATCCATGGTTGTTGAAATGTCTTGTGTTCGTCACTGCAAATTGACGCTTCAAGGGCGCACAACCAGCCGGGTTAATCACTCGGCTGCCTGCTTTGAACGCACGATTGAGTGACATTTGTCATTGTGCCGGCGATAATTCAACATTGTACTCAGAGTGTGGACCATCATGCAACTTTCCATCCACTTGTGGAATAGCAGCAGCCAGCCCTCAGTGGAATAGCAGCAGCCAGCCCTCAGTGGAATAGCAGCAGCCAGCCCTCAGTGGAATAGCAGCAGCCAGCCCTCAGTGGAATAGCAGCAGCCAGCCCTCAGTGGAATAGCAGCAGCCAGCCCTCAGTGGCTAAGGAATTTGTTAGCAGCTGCTGTATTATAGAGGTTCCGGGGTACTATTTTTCGTGCCAAAATCCGTAGAGGCGCTACGGATTTTTGATACGTCGTTTTCAACCAGTGAAATGTTCCGGAGTATGGAACGTATGTCTTTGTCATCATTGCCTAGGTTACGATCGCAAACACGTCATATTCCCGCGCTATGCCTTTTTATTTTGAAAATTTGTACTGAAATCAAAACTTCCAGCGGAAATCGATGTTTCTCGTACCAAATTTGTACGCGAACAATCTTTCTGCACTCGATGATGCCAAAATCTCCATACGAAACATGGTTCGTATGAAAGCCAGTCCACACGGACTCTCCGTGCCGAAAAATTGTATGGAGCACGCCTCGAAAAAATCCGTAGCGCCCATACGGATTTTGGCACGGAAAATCGTACCCCGGAACCTCTCTATTGCCTGGCTCAGGTCATTTCTTTGACAATGAGATGATCGTGTGTGCAGTGCATTCTGCTTCAGCTGCTTTTTGACCTGCTTGCTAATCTTCTTCTTTTGTTGCTGTTGTTGTTGTTGTTGTTGTTGTTGTTGTTGTTGTTGTTGTTGTTGTTGTTGTTGTTGTTGTTGTTGTTGTTGTTGTCGTTGTTGTTGTTTGTTGTTTGTTGTTATTGTTTATATGCTTGTAATGGTCTCTGTGTCCCAGGGTGTCCAAGCTCAGACCGTTGCTAATTTTTACCTCTCGTTCGAAGCCGACCTGTTTTTTGTTCCCGTTCTGAACAAGGTAATGCAGGTTCGATTGGTACATGTCGTGGGTGCAGTACAGTGATCATGGTGGTGTTCCTCAATCATTGTTCCTCAATCATTGTTCCTCAATCATTGTTCCTCAATCATTGTTCCTCAGTCATTGTTCCTCAATCACTGTTCCTCAATCACTGTTCCTCAATCATTGTTCCTCAATCATTGTTCCTCACTTCCTGTATTGACAGATGGTGCCAGCCAATGCCAGGTGGCTATGTGGTGTGGCGACATCAGTTAATTCTATTTCTTAAAACGGTATTCTGTTCCGTGTGTGTGCATGTGTGTGTGTATTGTGTGTGTGTGTGTGTTTGTGTGTTGTGTGTTGTGTGTGTGTGTGTGTGTGTGTGTGTGTGCTTCTGTAGATCGACCTAAAGACTGCCAACGTCCCTCGCAGCATTGAGCAGCTAAAATCGCTGACTGAGTGTGACGAAAGTGAAATCTTACAGGTGAGTATTTGTGGATGGTGTGCGCCACTGAATCGTGTAGTGTGTACGCTACACGTCTAATGAAACACCCTGTGGCAATAGTGACATGGTTGCTGTCCGTGTTCTTGGTCGGCATCCCGAAAATGGATGGCTGGCATGTTGGCCAAACTTCAGTCTCAAGTTAGGCTATGTATCGAAACTGACTGTCTCTCCATGTCTTTGGAGCAGTCAAGGTAGACCAAGTTGCAGAAGAAGCATGTTGCCTTTAATACAGAAGTTGACGAACCCTCGTTATTTAATATGTTTCTTTTCTTCATGTGCTTTCGAAGATGTCAGCAAAGTCTGGTCTTGGTGTGGATCAAATACTGCCGGCAGTTATCGACAGAATACCACCGTAAGCAATGCTCACTCTTGTTGTTTTTCTTTGAAGTTGAGATGAGCTTTCATCCTTCATCGGTGACCCCGTCTTGTCCTCAGTGAATTGTATTTTGAACATGGATTGTCTTATTTGGCTTGTGAGCAACACTGGCTCACACTCAATCACTGCTTTTCACAAATTCATTTCGATGCATCCTACAATATGTTAAATGGATTGTCTTCTTGATGTATTGTTTTTTTTGCTCGTACTTACCAGTCAAGTTTTCCGTGTTCAACATCGCGAATCTAATGTGCAATAGTTGGCAAGTCAAGTCTGGTCTCTCGGATGCGTGTGTGTGTGTGTGTGTGTGTGTGTTTGTCTGTGTGTGTGTGTGTGTGTGTGTGTGTGTGTGTGTGTGTGTGTGTGTGTGTGTGTGTGTGTGTGTGTGTGTGTGTGATGTGCATGTGTGTGTGTGCGTGCGCGCGTGTGTTTGCTGGTTCTGGTGTGCTGCTGTATCTTAGGCCAGAGCGTAGCGACCGTGACAAGCAACTGCGGATGCTGGTGTTTGACTCCTGGTACATTCCCCACCGCGGTGCTCTGTGTCTGGTGGCTGTCAAGGATGGCTCACTGGCTGTTGGCGATCCTGTCACTTCCGCGCACTTTCAGAAAGACTATATTGTCGATGAGGTTGGCATCATGCATCCCCATCGGACCCCCGTGACCCGCTTGTAAGTTCAGCAACTACTGGTGTCTTCACTGTCTTATTCCAACGTGAATGTTGTGCCGTTGTTGCTATTGTTGCTGCCATTGCTGTCGTCATGACTATTGTTCAGTGCCTGTTAGACAGCCAGTTAGCTAATTATGTTAGTGTAGAGTTCACAGCAAGCCTACTGACTGTTTGTGGCAATTCCTAAGTAGCAAAGGCCTCTTTCAATGTGAAATTATGCGTGTGTGTGTGACACTGTGTGTGTCTGTGTCTGTATGTGTGTGTTTGTGTGTCTGTGTGCGCATGTGTATGCACACGCACACGTGTGCGTATGTGTGTGTGTGTGTGTGCGTGTGCGCGCATGTCCATGTCCGTAACTGCTTGCCCGTGTGTCGTCCTCACAGATACGCCGGACAGGTCGGGTACATGCTGTGCAACATGAAGAGATCACATGATGCACGCGTGGGAGACACATTTCACCGGACGGGTGAGACAATCACGCCATTCCCCGGCTTCAAGCCCATCAAACCTGTTGTAAGTTTGGAATAATGAAATCGCATTTCACTGAGAAATGATGGGTGGTGTATCAGGTGATAACCACTCTCTTTTGTTGCCTATCACTTTTTAAAAGCAAAGTGCTGAGATACCTTTCCCTGAGCCACACTATTAGGTATGATAGGATATATAACCAGCCATGTGCCAGGCCCCCCCCCCCCCCCCCCCGAGTTCCCAATTAGCTGTGGGTCGCAGCACGGCTGGAGGTTAGTGGGCGTTCCTACAGATGTGGAAATCTCGGCCTCTAGCCGAGTCTCACGCGGACCGTGAATGTGTTTGATACTAGTCTGTTTTTTCTTTTGTTTCGTTTTTGTGTAGGTGTTTTGTGGCATCTTTCCCGTCGACCCCAATGATCTTCAGATGCTAACAAGCGCCATGGACAAGTTGACGCTGAATGATGCTAGTGTGGATGTGCAACGCGATGCCAGGTAACACAAAACTACAACACCCACGGTAGTATAGCGCGATGCCAGGTAACACGAAACTACAACACCCATGGTAGTATAGCGCCATGCCAGGTAACACGAAACTACAATACCCATGGTAGTATAGCGGAGAAGAACAGTACACTAAACAGTAACACTAAATCTTATCTGCTGCTCAGTGTCACCCAGTGCAGGGCTCTGGTACTCGCACAGATGATGGAGTCAATGATTAGCATCCTCTGCATTGATCATCTTGCTGCTTTCCAGCAGCTACAAACATGTTGTTTCCAACAGCTGCAAACGTGTTGTTTCTTCACGTCCTGTGTGTTGTTGCACAGTGCCGTTCTTGGTCAAGGCTGGCGGCTAGGTTTCCTGGGAATGTTACACATGGAGGTGTTCACCCAGCGCTTAGAGGAGGTGAGTCCTGCTCAAGTTGCACTGTACTGTTTGCTCCAGTGCACCGCCTGGGTGTGTTCCCTCCCCAACTCAAGAACACGTACACACAGGGATGGATATGGTGGAATTACTCATCTTCTTTCCAATGTAAAAGAGCGTACGTTTTGGTGGCCAGTGTATGGGAGTATTTATTAGGTCACTTCCTCCCTTTTAGTGCAGCCTGCAATACCTTGAGAGCTGTCCAACATTTACAGGCTCTTGTGATGCTCCTTTCCCGATGTGTGGTAATGTGTAGTTTGATCAATTTGCAGACAATTTGGCTGATCACAGCACTGTTCCTGCTGCATTAGGAGGTGATGACATCCCAGCGGAGCTCTCAGATACCGTACTGTCCATCTTGTATAAGCGCCTGTCTCGTATCTGTTGTGAATACAAGCCTGGTTTTCAAGATCTGCACACAAGCCTGGTTCTAGGGTTAACATGCATAGAAATACCTGGTTTGAATACAAGCCTGATTTGATTGGAAGCTTAGCGCTGACATTGGTTTCTACAGGACTAAGCACGGCCTTCAGACACAACACTACGGTATACTGTACTGTACAGTCAAGCATGCACCCTTGCCGTGCACCCTTGCCGTTTTATCACCAGTAGCTACTAGCTACTGGGCATTTTATTCCGTTGTGAAGTAAAAGTTGGCTCATTGTCAGTGATAATGACTGGTTTATCATATAGAAAGGTGTCAAGTGTTAGTTTAAAAAAGGAAGTGAAAGTTTTTCGTGACCTTTTGTTGAGAAACCAGATGTGTTGAAAACTGTACCACTGCCTTTTGATTTTGGTTTGTTTCTCTCGGTGTTGTTCAGGAGCATGACGCCCACGTTATTTGTACTTCGCCAAGTGTCATGTTCCAAGGTAGGTTACCTTGTCGGTGTAGCTTTGTTTGCCCTGCCACAGAGAAGCTCTCTCTCTCTCTTTTTTCTCTCTCCCTCTCTCTCTCTCCATCTCTCTCTCTCTCTCTCTCTCTCTCTCTCTCTCTCTCTCTCTCTCTCTCTCTCTCTCTCTCTCTCTCTCTCTCTCTCTCTCTCTCTCACACACACACACACACACACACACACACACACACACACACACACACACACACACACACACACACACACACCACTCACCCACTCACTGATGCACTCACCGAGTCACTCACATTGCTAATGTGGTTAGTGGTATTTACATAACTGTATAACATGTATTTTAGGTGCACCACAATGTTAGCCGTTGTCAAACCATTCAAAGAAAGACGTGTTATTCTGGTTACTTTCGTGTTGTTCAGCAATGATGACCAAAACTGAAGAGTTGGTAATGATTCGCCAACCAGAGAAGGTGAGCTTACGTACAGTGTATGCTGTTATGGTCCAGTAGCAGACTAGTACAGTTGCGCTCGGTGAAATCCCACCCAGAGTGCATATTTGGCACGCTCAACTTGCACGGCCCTTGGCGCCCTGGAGGTGGCACGAATGCGGCTGAACACATAAGTGTACAAATACAATGATGTAATCAGAACTGGTCCAGGGCACCAGCGTTGCACTTTGGGTCGGATTTCACCGAGCGCAACCGTACCTATAAATAATATTAATTTACTTTTTGGTAAGCGTGGACGTCGTCCTTGAGGACGATCACCGACAAGAGCCTGAAGGTATGTTTCTGCAACCATTCTCAATAACTGGCATACTGTGAGAAATCAGAGTGGACAGTCGTATGATGGAAAGGACCCAAGGTGTCTACTCAGTTCTGATTGAGTGGCAACTGACAATGGAACTCCTAGCCAAGATACGTACAGTATTGATCACCTTGACCAATGTAGTCAGACTGGATTTCCCAAAGCTATGTGCGCTGGATGGTGCATTCAGCGTATTATGCAGTGTGGTTGTTCCTCGTGCCATGAACTTGTGCGTGTGTGTGTGTGTGTGTGTGTGTGTGTGTGTGTGTGTGTGTGTGTGTGTGTGTGTGTGTGCATGTATGTATGTATGTATGTTTGTGTATAGTTTCCCGACCCAGCGGAGGTGTCCTACTTCAAGGAGCCGATGGTCAAGGCCACACTTATTTTCCCGGAAAAGTACGCCGGCAAAGTGATCTCGCTCTGCCAGGTATGACACCCACCCACACTCTCGTTGACTGACTCTCATTTCTTCCAACGTATCTTGAACTATCTTCCTTAGCAAACAGTTGGACGAAACCCATGGGTTGAGTAGCAGGCGAAGCTCACTAAAAAGTGAAAAAGTTTACACAGTATAACAGTTGGGCTAGGCCGATATTCCACGATGGCGAATGCAGCTGTGGCTTACGACTCAGAGCTTCATGACGAAAACCTATCGCCGGGTAGCAAATTATGACTTGTAGTGAAGCTCTGCCCCGGGGCGCTGTTGCCTTGTCACGAGGCTTGAGCATTCTAGTTTTCTGTTCATCAAGTTGCTTCTGCCACACTGCTCTCTTGTCACTGTATCAGTAACAGTTATGTTAGTACTACAAGAACTCAGTGTTATGACATGCCGTCAGTGTCCGCTGTTGTGCTACATCTAAGCAGCCGCGTCTAACTTCTGGATATCGAGCACCCTAGTCTTCCCTCAGAGCCATCCCAGTAGATCTGATTGTTCGTAATTTATGGTTTTTTCCTTTCACTTATCGTGCAGGGTCACCGCGGTGATATACTTGACCGTGTCTACATAGACAGTACGCAGCTGATGATGAAGTTCCGCTTGCCGTTGGCAGAAATTGTCGTCGATTTCTATGACAAGCTAAAGGGGACTACGTCTGGCTATGCATCGTAAGTTTGTGTTTATCAGTAGGCTAGTTAGCACTGTTAGCTTGATGTTTTGTTGATTTGCAGTACTGATTTCAATAATAGGTTGTAGCAACAGGGTTGATTGAATTTGGAATTTTACTCCTGCTAGAATTGCGAAGCTGTGTTGTTGTTTTTGTCTTTGGCCTGCGTGTAGTATTTGTGTGTTTCATTTCATCTGCTTGTTCTGTCTCTCTCTCTCTCTCTCTCTCTCTCTCTCTCTCTCTCTCTCTCTCTCTCTCTCTCTCTCTCTCTCTCTCTCTCTCTCTCTCTCTCTCTCTCTCTCTCTCCACTTGCTTGTCCGTATAAATATTTCCTCGTCATACAGATTTGAGTATGAAGATGATGGCTGGGAGGATTCGAACCTTGTTAAGGTATAGTCGCATTATTTTGAATTTGTGTTTTGAAATCAGATTGCTGCAAGCGTCTAAGGATGTTCTACATAATTATATGCTTCTTGCGAGCATCATCAAATCCCATTTACTGCCACAATTGCTTCATATCTAGCTCTCACTCCCCTTCCTTTCTCTAACTTTGTGGGTGGTCTCTCTCTCTCTCTCTCTCTCTCTCTCTCTCTCTCTCCTCTCCCCTTTCAGTGTGAAATCCTACTGAATGGAGAACCTGTGGACGCATTGGCCGTCATCTGTCACCGTACTAAGGCTTTTAAGCTGGGCAAGGCAGTGTGTGGCTATCTGAAAGAAGAACTACCCAGGCAGTTGTTCGAAATTGCCATCCAGGCACGGACAGGCAAGAAGATCATTGCAAGGGAAACGTGAGTGCCTTTAATCAGACCTCTTGTACATGTACCAAGCCTGTGTGTGTGTGGGGGGGGGGGGGAGGGGGTGCTTGCATGCGCACTCGCGTGTGAGTGCCAGAAAACTCGCAGGCACGTTTGCAGCATGTATGGTTGTCTCTGACTGATGCAGGCTATTGAAAACTACAACTATGTACATTGTTAATTTGTTGTGGCAACCGAGAATGGAACATTGTGTTGTTTCAAATCTTTATTCTCACGATAGCTGTTGTTGTTGTTGTTGTTGTTGTTGTTGTTGTTGTTGTTGTTGTTGTTGTTGTTGTTGTTGTTGTTGTTGTTGTTGTTGTTGTTGTTGTTGTTGTTGTTTCAAATCTTTATTCTCACGATTGTTGTTGTTGTCGTCGTCGTTGTTGTTGTTGTTGTTGTTGTGGTTGCCGCTGTTGTTGTCATTGTCGATGCTGTCGTTGTTTTTTTTTCTGTAGTATCAAAGCGATGCGAAAGGACGTCACTGCTAAGTGTGTAAGTGAACATACCATGCACTGTGTGAACTTACCATGCACTAGCAATTCTGCTTGTTATCACGGCCAGTGCACTGTTATCACAACCAATCCCATCTCTGGTGGTAGAGAGGTTCAGTAACTCATTTGTTTCATACGAAACGAGCTACTGGGTCTGGTCTGGGTGTGAGTCTCGTGAAAATCTCGTAGACTGGATTTGTTTACGCGTGTCCGGGCTGTTTGTTGTAAGTGCATCCGAGATCACACTGCCTCAAAATTTAACAAGGATGCCCCCGTCGAAATAAGAAGCTCTATCTAGTATTTGTGCACGTAAACAATTCTTCTCGGTCAGTATTTCTGTTGCTGGCTCTCTTTTGCTGCTGTGTAAAAAAGTAAGGAAAAGACGTAACAAAAAATCCAACGAAACCAGATGACAATTGTGCGTTTTCAGCATGGAGATTACCCAGTATTGCCAGAATTTGAGATGCTGCCTTGCCCATTCTTCGTTGTTGTAAACCAACTTATTTTAGCGGTCGATTGAAATTTGCTGATTTCGTCGCTTGGTGCCAATCGGCCAAAGTACCGGTAAATCTCCTAATTCTTATTGTGCTTTGTTATGTGCACAGTATGGTGGAGATATAACACGTCGCTTGAAGCTGCTCAGCAAGCAGAAAGCGGGCAAGAAGAAGATGAGAATGGTGGGCAACATTGAAGTGCCCAAGGAGGTCTTCATGAAGGTCATCAAGCAGAAGTGAGTGGCCAGTGAGCACGCTCTGTCCTGCTGTTTTGGAGCTATTGTTGGTAGTCTGAATGCTTTGCACACACCACTGACTATTGACATTGTACATATGGACATATCGTGAGGTCTATCCCATTCTCTACTGCCTTGTACATGGCTGTACATGCTGTTTCTGTTGTAGAGAATCTTTGGTTTGATGTTTAGCTGTTTCTGAGCCACTTGTTGTGCGCTTTGTTTATCCTGTTTCTGCATTATACACACTATAGGGGTTATGCATGGATCATGGGTGTTTTAGTAACATGCTGGCCTGGTGCAGTTTTCACAAATGATGCTGTGTAAGCATTGGAATGCTCGTCCCAGTAACTATTTTGCCATGCGCGTTTATAAATTATACTAGGTATTTCTATTTATTCCTCTTTTCCATGTTACTATTGTGAGCTAACATTCTGATTGCTAACTATGCATAGAACTGATAGAAGCCTGTAAGTCAGAGAGATTTTAAAAGACAAAGCACTTATGTTGCAGCGCAACACTGTGATTGGATTCGAGCAATTTTAATACTGTGGTTATTAGAGGGGTTCCGCACAACGAAATTACGTCAGTAAAAACGGAGTCGATCTACGGAAAGTCTTACGTACACTGCATGCTGATCCGTATTCCGCCATACGGAGTTTTCGAATCATGTAGCTGCTCTTGGCAACTACGAATGACATACAGTGAACAACTCAGGGAGAGAGTCATAAAATATGTACTCCAATAAGGAGCACCTCCATTAGTAGAGCTCCACTTACGTACTCTATGAAGACAACTTTCCGTAAGTGGAGTGAAAAACTCGCGAATTCGCGGGTTTTTGGCGCCCACTAACGTACTAAACTAACTTTATGACTTATGTATCGCGGAACTTTTCTATTACCAGGTGTTGTCACCTGTATGATGACGAAAATCAAGTTTATACACTGGAGTAGACCTGGGTCTATGGAGCTGAGTTGTTCTATTGCACACATTGTATATCTACAGCAGCAGGACTACATGATTCCGCTTGGCTTTGCGAGTGACATGTGCCACTAAGTTCCAGAACCATAATTATGTGTTGCAATTGCACGTGTGCAGAGGTCAGGCTTTGCTCTGCCAGGACTGAGACTGTGAAGTGGCTAGGATCCTGCAGAGCAGTGTGAGATGTCCTGCACCGTCCAGTCCGTGCAAGTCTGTACATATGTACATGCAGTACATGTGTGCCACACGCTCGTCCCCAGGGCGCTCGGTGCTGCTGTATATTATCCACGAGTCCGGATTTCGTTGCCCCCCCCCCCCCCCCCCCCCTCAGCGCCCTGCACCTGTTTATGCAGCACTGTTTTGTACTTGTTACAAAATAGGTTTTGTAGGAATGCCGGTTGTGCATGATGTATGGCTAGTTAGTAGTCGCAGTGCATTGATTGTCCGGCTCCTGCCACTCCGCATTACATGTACAGACTGATCTGATGGACGCAGTCAGTTCAGTGACCAGCGTAGATCTACATTGTATGACGGTAGAGACAGCCGGTATTGTCGCACCATTTGATGCCCGGCATGCACACTGCATAGAGACACATCTTGTGGCACCACTGCATGCCCGGCATGCACACTGCATAGAGACACGTCTTGTGGCACCACTGCATGCCCGGCATGCACACTGCATAATATGCTACCAGGGAGAGTCGTAAAAGCCCGTTTGATCGGTTGGATCCGGATCCAGATCGATTGAGTGGATCCTTTGGATCCACCAAGGTCCAATCAAACCCATCCATGCCCTTGGTAGAATCTGGAATTTTAGTGATTTTTTAGGGTTTCCATGAGAGAAAGCAACGATTTCCGCATTCTTGGGGTACACGACCATGATGACTTAGTCTTTGTACCAGCGCCAGCGGGCTGTGGCAGTATGCGTCGTATTTTACGACTCCCTGAGCAGGACTCGAGTCCCAAGCTTACGCCGTTACGGGCCAAGTCCCATGTCAGATGCATGCTTCGTGCACGGTCGCCATGGTAACTTCTAGTGCGCTAGTTCTAGTGCAACAATATTATAGCATGCAGTTAGCTACCAGTCGTAGATCTACTCACGCACCGCCAAATTCAAAATTTCTTGCAAGCTAGCGAGCACTAGCAGGAAACTGGAAAGACTTGAAAGCGGAAAGAAAGGCTCTGAGATCAGTGAGAGTGAGAAGCAGGCCGTGTTGCAGCAGAGCTGGCGGAGAGAGCTATTACGAATGTTTGGCTGTTTGCTAGTTGCCTGTCCAGCTTGGGATTGAAACCGTGCCGCCGAACCGGCTAGCGGCCAAAGTAGGGTAGCTCTAGGCCTGAGGGTTTTCTTCAGAATTCGGCTGGTGAAAACTTGACCTGAGATAGCGCGCTCTCGCTGTTGCAGTTTGTTACTTTCGCTACGTGTCTTCGAATGTCGTCCTTCACTTCAGCGTCACGGTGACCTGGCTCTAGCTGTTGCGTTGTGTATATCTGCTCCGTACTTGACTTGTGACCGGCCGGGTCTGCCAGCGTAACTTTGGCTTCGGCAGTACTCCGAGAGCAATGGCGGAGATAGATGGTGGACGAAGAAGGTCCGTGTCCACGGTGCCGCTATGTAGCGATGGTGGACACGGCAACAGTTCTTCACCGTACAGCGAATTTGATTTGGTAAGTGAGAACTGTTGGTGTGGCTTACTCTAATAGCTAATGGCTACAAAAAGTTTGAAGAATATTTCTGGTTAGCCCCCCCCCCCCCCACACACACACACACCAACTCATCTTGCTCTTTTTCGTTCCCAGTTTGTACATACTGAATGTACGCGTAGACTCCTGTAACGTTATTTACACATCATCTTTTCGCTTACTGCCTACACGTTGTGGAGAAACATGATGTTGACTCCAACAGGACTATAAGTATATATTATTCTCCCCAAGCTCTGCAAAAGACGTTGCGTGGGCCGGTCGTCATAACGCTATTTGTTATCTGTGTGCGGGGGCCCACTGGGCCGGCCGTCATCTAATGACTGATCAGTGATCACGCTATCGACCAAGATTTGTCATATGAGTAGTGAGGAAAACATTCGATATCCCGTACATGATGTGCTGTGATGTACCAGCGGATGGTGGAGAGCAGAGGGTTGGTGGTGTGGGCGTTTCACCCACATACTCCAATAGGGATCAAGTTTCGACGACAGGATCATTGCGTGAAACGACTTGGTAGAATGCATGCGATGTGTGTTGGAGGACTACATCCCATGCATCACTGCGGGTTCGAATCCCACTGAACATCTGGAATTGGCCCCTCCCACCAACCACATACCACCACATGGTGCTGAGCTAGCACAACGAAATAAGTTGTTTGTATACGATGACCTAGGTAATGAGCAAGCATAGTGAGGGTCCTGAACTTGCAACTTTCTCGTTACTCGTGAGATTAGAATCATTCTCTTCACGATTACCTGAACCCTTTTGGACAGGCATGTCCTTACAAGGAAAAGAACACTGGACATTTTCACAGGCAACGCGCATACTTAGTATAGAGCTTGAGACTTTCCCGACCGTGCCTGTTTGTTTAGCATCAACGCGCTAGGAACTGAGTGGATCCTCAATGTGATGCGTGTGGATTTTTACTAAGTTACTGTTCTGTACCTGTAGCTTGTGGCAACTTTTTTATAGGTAAGTTAGGAAAACACATTCCTAAGATGGTCTTTTCTGCGTCTCTCTCTTACCCACTCTCCCTCCCCCCCCCCCTCTCTTTCCCTCCTCTCCCCCTCTCTTTCCCTCCCCCCTCTCTCTTGCCCTCCTCTCTCTTGCCCTCCTCTCTCCCCCCCTCTCACTCCAGGGCCAGATCACACCATGTGCAGAGGGGTGCGTGTGTCGCCATGTTTTGCATGGTGCAAAGTTTGTCGTCTCTGGCTTCTTGCAAGCTGACCGTCAGTGTCTGGTAAGATTATTATGGTTCACACAAACGCCTCTCTCCCCGGATACCTCATTTATGGGCATGTATTTTTGCCGGCCACTTTCAGCTTGGATAACCGTGACAATAATGGTATCTGTTTGGCCTTTGAAGCTTTTCCCGTCATTTACCTTCTATTACAGACATAGTGGGTGTTGGTGGGTGTGTTTTCGATACGGTACATTCATGCACATGCACCATCATGGCACGATTTATTTACAAACATTATGCATACACATGCAATGAGCTGTTCTACTACAGAAAATGTGGGCAAACCTTAGTTATGTGCACCATGCAGTCCCAATGTATGCGGTGGAGAGGAAAGGAAGTCAGAAAAAACAAAAGTACCATATTATTTTCCGAAGCATAAGCTTGTAATTCATCCAAAAAAAGCCAGTGTGGCTTATACTACGGTGGTCAAATGAACGGTGTACAGTACAGGGTAGATGTCTGTATTTTGTGACAAAAGAATCTGGGTGTGGCTTGTTCTCCAGTGCGGCTTACACTGCGGCGAGTACGGTACATGTATTACATGTTAACACATGTCGCATTTGATCCAAGCCTACAGCTATTGATACTTTACTGTATTGGACAGCTAGCAGCAGAACTGACCATTGGAAAGTGCTGTACATGTACATGTATACTCTACTGATTTGTGTCATTTTGTGAACATGTGTGTACATATGTATGATTGTGCATCTGTGTGTGTGTGTATGTGTGTGTGCACATGCTTGTGCAGAAACGTGTCTGCCGCAAAATTCGTCTGATGGGTGGCAAGGTGCTGCGTCGGGTGGAGAGCCATGTAACTCACGTTCTGGTTGGGAGGATCGGCGAGCGGGCACGTGTGAGTAGCCGTGATCGTATCACTGGCAACCCCACCACCTACACACACATGCTCTGCTAGCTACACGCTTCTCATAATGACAGTGTCGCGTGCCATTGTTTCCAGGGTCAATGTCATGCCATGTAGAAGTCCTACGCTACTCTTGGAAGCAAACTGTCACATTCCAGTGTTGCATGCTAAGGAATGCTCTGTGCATATGCTACCTTTGGTGGTTTTGTCCTATGTTTCTCTAAGTGCGCCTTTGACCCGGGGAAGTAAAACAACCTCAAACGCAAACGTGGGAACTACAAAATGTTATGTTTTTCTCTTGCTTTATTCCAAACAACAACTAACTCGGAGCTCCGGAAAGCTCCGCAATATGATGCCAACAGAATGTAATGGTGTGGGTGCATGAGTACAGAGTCGGTGCACACCGACTCATAGGGATAGGGAAGTGCTAATTTGAAGTACTTAATTAAGTACTTTTGAAGCAGTAGCACCCACCCGCTATTGACCCGTTCGTCTAGTACTGTTGTAGTTTGTAGCAGTTGTTTGCTGAGACATTCTGTAACAGTACCAGCTCCCTGTTGTTCCCCTGTGCCATTGCAGAGAGCTGCAGAACTGCGCATCAACTGCTTCCATCCCAGCTACGTAGACAGATGCTGGATTGAGCGACATGCCAAGTACGTCATAGTACTCAGTAGAGCAGTGAAGAATACCATTTTGTTAACCAATTCCTTTATCATGGAAATTGTGGGCACAAGTTATGCGATCGAGTCCACCAACTAAACCAGATTTTGAACAGTCAGACGTGCACAGTCTAGCACAGAACTGACAATTTCCATGTTACAACTTTTTTCCTTGGCTCACCATCTGAGTTCTTGATTCCTTTATCCGATTCCTTTACGTTACACGGTGTGCCATAGGACTGCTAGCTAGATCAGAACCAGAAAGAACCCTTTCACTGAACTACTCAATGTTTTTCTTAGAAGCCCTGCAGTTCTCAGTTCTGAGTGCATGTGGCTTCCCACTCGTTTTACATTGAGATGCGATGTCAGTGATGTTGTTCTGTATTTGCGGTGTCCGTTGTTTGCTGTTTGTTGTCTCTATCGTCACTGGTGCGCTCATCGCCGTGGTTACGTGTGCAGAGACTTCTGGATCGTTGAGGAGCAGTTCGTAAGTGTCATCCATTTCAGTTGCCAACAGAACTGTCAGTCTAACTAGTAATAATATATGTCTCTAATAATCCAAACAGTCTTCCTTTCAGGCAACATACATAGAAATAGCTGTGATGACTAATGGCGAGATGAATTTACCAATTTGTGTTCATATGTCATGTTCTGCCACTAGGTCAGGGAGTATGTAATGCGCGTGAACAAGATTGCGTCCATGAAGCGAGGCAGCTCGCTCCGCTATCCCAAAGTGGAGAACCCCGTCAAGTTGAAGCGCAGTACATCGCGCTGCTCACCGAAGATCACCCCTACAGGTTAGTCATACAATCACGTACAGTACAATGTCATGTAGTGGGGTTTATCTATCTACTGGTGAAAAACTGAAAATCATGATTATGACAGAAAAGAAAGTGAGGAAAATGTAATATGTACAATGTACAATGTACATATTGGCGTAAGTATGGAGGTGCGTATGCAGCTATATACAGTGAAACCTGTCTTAAGACTACGGCTCAAGAGACCTTCAACACGTACGTAAAGCGCTGCATCGTCTGCAAACTGCGACTCCGTTATCTCGGTCTCCAGCAGTTTCGACTTGGCCAATCGATCGCCAACAAGCCTCCATCCGATGCGGTAGCGCAGAGTCACACCAGTAGGGATATCAGCGAACGCACTGCGCAGGCCTCTGCGCATGCATTGCGTCATCGAATTTTTGAACGTGATCGCGGCCGACAGAGAAAACATGGCCGCGGTCTGTTTTGCACCGCTGGGAGTCGTAAGATTACTGTTCTTCTGTCCCCGCAACCATTCAAATCATACGCGATATGGAGGACCCACGTACTCACCACGTTCTCCCCGGTCGATTTCTCTGAAAGTTTGCACATCGTGAAACACCAGTATGAGAGGTGTTCAGGCCAATTTTCAAGGGATTACCCTGGTTGGATCGTTCCAAAATCGGACTTGCATTTCTCGCTCGCGGCCATTTCTTGCGCGATGGAAGCGCCCTGCCCTGGTGAGTAACCAGCGTCGCGCTTGGTAGAGAGTTGCTGCAATCAGCTCCCTGATGTCTTCGCTGCCATTGTCAGAAGCGATGGACCATGAATTTGTTTGAGAGTCTCTGGATGCTACTTTTCCTCAGCCTAGTTTTCAGCCATTCCATGCATCTTCTTCGCACGATGTATTTTGCAAAAAAATGAAAGTGTTCATGAGTTTTCTTGTCAGCCGCGCGTAGATGGGCCAGGCTGACCTGCAGAGATGGGCTGCGCAGTGCGTTCGCTGATATCTCTAACACCAGGCACAGTCGATTGGGAACGCCACGAGGCAACAACCGTGGCAAAGTAGATATTGAACAGAGTAGGTGCCAGGGTACAGCCCTGCCGGAGACAATTGGCCACAGAGATGGCATCTGTTAGCCCACCAGCAACGCGCACCCTGGCCTCGTGGAGACTCCGGATTAAGCCGAGCACATGCTGCGGCACACCAACTCTCTCCAACTCTCTCCAAAACCAGCCACAACACATGGCGGGGAATAGAGTCATACGCCTTTCTAAAGTCGACGAAAAGGACGTACAGCTGGGAGGTATGCTCAATGGATTTCTCCACAAGCTGACGAGCCACAAACATCATATCCACGCAACCACGGCCCTTTCGAAACCCACACTGCGACTCTGGCAAGATGTCCCCTGCCAGCTTCATTAGGCGATCCTGGATGACACGAGCAAACAACTTCCCAACAACGTCCAGGAGACTGATGCCCCACCAATTGTCACATCGGTGGAGGTCTCCTTCCTTAGGAATTGTGACAATCTCCGCATCACGCCACTCAGGAGGCACCGGGCCGCTCAACCACACCGCCCGGACAAGATTGAATATACGCTGATGCAAGCCTTCCCCGCCGTTTCGAAGGAACTCTGGAGCAATCTTAGACTCCCTGCAGTTGTACCCAGGTTCAGTCTCCGCATTGCACGCATCACCTCGTCAAAATCTGGAGGGAGATCCAGGCTCACACGCGACTCCTCAATATGCATACTCTGTAACACAGTGACTCCTCAATATGCATACTCTGTAACACAGTGACATGATCAACATTACTACAAGTAGTAACAGTGAACGCAAAGTGGTGACTCCAGCAATCCCTGAGACCACCAGGGCTGGACGTTAAAACACCTTCTTGATTGTAAACACACACGCACGCACACACACACACACACACACACACACACACACACACACACACACACACACACACACACACACACACACGCTTGTACTTGTACTTGCTCACTGCCCAAATTGGTCACGTGGGACTTCCCGGGAGAGGGGAGAGAGGAACTCAAAAGGAATCTTTTAAAGAGGACTCAACTAGCTATAGGGCTTGAAAGTGCTACGTCACAGCATAGCAACAATTTCAAAAATTCAAAAACTGTATCCACTTGGATCCAGTTTTTGTATGGATCCAAGCACATTTCAAGCGGTCTTACTCACAGCAAGGTGATGTAGCCAGTGAAACTGACTGATTTGGCTAATGGGGGCGGGGTGACAACTGGTGGCGAAATAAAAGTCACACCTGCATGCGACATGAGTGGGTTGCTATTAGGGGTGAAACGGTTCGGGTAAGGAACCGGTTTTGGAACCGCCAGCTGAAAAGTATCGGGTACCCGTTCCGTAAAATTTGGAACCGAAACTCGAAAAATCTCGTTCTCGTACAAATACATGTACACGCCAAGTCTACTCAAGATTTTTAAATGTCTTACCTTATGATCACTGCCCTTCCAAAGGGTTCTCCTATCGATCCTGGTCACTACGAGAGTACCTTCTTTGCACATGGACTCGCCGATATCTCGTTCTTGCTCGTAAAAATGTTTTCTAACTTGAAAATAATTGTCACGGACGCATTTGGTCGGTCTGGAGAAAAGAGTGCATGGAACCGATACCCGAACCGTGGGAAACTATGCTGGCATTCGGGTACCCGAACATGAAAAACATGGAACCGTTTCACCCCTAGTTGCTATGCACCCACATACTTAGGCAATAGCAAAGTCACACCTTAGTGGATCCAAAATAGAAATCTGATGTCAATTTACTACTCCCTGGGCGTTTTTGACGTCATCACTTTCAAGCCCTATTGAACCGCCCAGCGGCCGACACCCCCTGAAATCCCCGAACTATGGGTGGACTTGCAAATGATCCCACTTATGGACTCACCACACTTCAGGAAGTGAGTGAGGACACGCAGACAGTGCACGCACGTGCGCACACGCACACACACATACACACATACGTACATACACACACACACACACACACACACACACACACACACACACAAACGCACACACACAACTATCAATCTCTGGGCAACTAGCCGGTTCAACATTGTTACGGTTCCTGTGTTGGTTAACCTATCCAGCTCGGTCTCCTCCGAAGCCTGTCATCGACGAAGCAGCTGTAGCTGCAGAAAGGAAACAGCTTCAGAAGCGCAAACACCTCATCAACGAGCTTGTAGAAACCGAAAAGACTTATCTCATTTTGCTGGAGTTTATCGCCAAGGTAGGCTCTTTGTTCACAGACGTAAAATGAGGGGGGAGAGGGGGGATTTGTTTTTTGAAAAATTTAGAAATTTAGTTAGAGTCCAAATCACTGAAATGAGTGCATTTCATTAATTGGCGTACCCGGAGCAAATAGTGGTACGGTCAAAACCGTAGTGACTGGAGCGTATCCAAAGCCCTTGCATGTGTCACCTTGCACTGATTGTGTTACACAATAGTCCGGAGTGGTAGTTCCTATTGTGTCTTGTGTCTCCTTTTCCTGTTTGGTCATCTTCATGAGTCCACTGTGCTGTGCTGTTTTCAGAACTACATCACACCATTGCAGGAGCAATGCAAGCAGAGAATCAGCCCGATGAAGACTAACTATGCCACGGCCGTGTTTGGTCCCTGGAAAGATCTCTACTCTCTTCACAGATCCCTTTTGGTCAGTTAATTCAATGTCCGTCATACCTGACGTGGTTCTTTGGGCCCGGGCCCTCCAGAATTTTTTTGTCTCCGATGTTCTTATTTTTCCATGCCATGCACTCTTGGGTGTACGTAGTGAGTTGCTATTGCTGCTTTGCCTGATGGTCGTAGTACTACTTGAAACTCGGAGTTGCGACACAGCTTCCAATCTCTCTCTTGTGTGTTGCTGCTTTGTGTACTTTGCTTATGATGTACATGTACGTGTACATCACTACAGGCTAGCCTGCAAGAGAGTGTTGACTATTCTTGTGCGGTGCTCAGCGGCTCTTCAATCGTGCCTAGCATCGGAGGCTCCTTCCTCACTCATGTAAGTCGTGATCAGTGTTGCGGTACTTGTCTATGTTTGACACCATGCTACATGCTACATGCTACATGCTGTTGCTACTGCTGCTACATGCTGCTGCCCTGGGTAGGCCATGGGTACAGAGCAGATAGTACTGTCGGTCACCGAAGAACTGGGGAGGGGGTCAGCTTCCTAGCCTAGACCGTTCTTATTTTCATGTACTGCAGTCTATGCAGTCGAGCCACAGTGTGTGCATCGGTATGCTGTGCTTGGTGACATTATAACCTGGTTGTTCTTCGGCGCTCGACGGTACTGTAGATAGGGGTCATTGTTTGATCAGCATTGTGCATTTCTCAAGGGGCGCAAGCTCCCCTGCAGCTACTCAGTTCATAACGCAGAACACCCCCGGCTACGCCATCCCCGAAGCAAGTTGTCTCTTTGCTGCTCAATCACATTGTTAGGTTACTGTTCTACTATTGTACTGTGTGTACTGTGTAGTCTGTGGGCTATTCTCTGGCGGCTTCTGATGTTGTGCACTGATCAGACGACCTACATACACACACGTGAATTGTTACACAAGTGTTGCAATAAATATTTAGTTCCTCCGCTATTTGTGAACGTGTGCCGCAGGCTCCTCTTTGTGTGTTGAGCACTTTGGCAAGGTCCCGACAACTTTCCTTAGTTCGTGTAAATGATGTGATCGTAACGTATTGCTGCTTTTGGGAGAGTGCTGTGAACGACAGTTCCACGTCAATCGTCTACTTTTCCTTTTGGGGTTTTCTTCTGTGTTCAGATGAGCGCGTTTGATCGGCAATATCCGGACTACATCACTTCGTTTGAACAGCGCAAAGACTTCCACAGCCATGCACTCAAGGCTGATCCGGTCTTTCGTGCTTTCATTCAGGTGGGTGCAGTCCGTATCTCCTATAAGGTTGGCGGCTATAGTAATATACCGGCTATAGTGATCAATTTCTCAAATTTATTTTCATTTGCCATAACTAAGTATACACAGTAGTGCTGAAACGATTACGTTTTTTCCTTAGTGGCTTAGCTGATACCATAACGATCGGCTTATCGGCTAAACGAGTATTATTGTAACTACATCAGTACAATCATGTACATTCTGTGAATGTCCAAAAAATTACGAGTCCAACATCGCCAACGACGGAAAGCGGGCGCATAGATCCGATGATCCCGCAACAAGTCCGTCAGCTGTTCGGACTGACCAGACGAATACAGACAAAACAGAGGCAACTCACTGGTTGCAACCCAAGAGCTGATGGTGCCCTTCGCGTGTGACTTCGCTGACTCCGACGATGAAGTCAGAGAAGCCGGCCAGGGGTGCAGATCGGCGGATTTCGACGGATGAGCTGACTTGAGGCGCACCAACAAGTAACTAGTTGTTTTTCCTGTCTATGCTCAAAATAGGCCCGGACGCCAGGCCTAGCTCGTCGTCGAGCAAACTGGTTCAGGAACCGTCGACAGAACAGAAAACATGAAACTGAAGACCACTTTATTGTCTTTTGGCTAGCTTAAGACTACTCGCACGTGGAGGGAACTCCAGCCCCTGCAGCTAGCTAGTGTAGATACATACTGAGCCCGCCCGTCCTGCATGCTGTATGTAAGAAAAGTAGTCAGCTCAAAAGACGGCGAAGTAACGGTAACGGTGATCACATCGATGTTTCTCAGATCGCGTGGGTGCCTAAAGTCTTCACACGTACATGTACATGAACATCGATGTTGCAAGTGTACAGTCATGTACATATTCGTGACGTATTCGCAACACTTTCGATGCATGCACGCTTTGTGCGACCCCAAAAGGGGGGAAATCCGGTAACGAGCGTAGGTACCATTCTACTCATTTAGCCGATAAAATCGAAATAGCCGTTCGATCTATTTCTTATCGAGTAAGTAACGAGTAATCGATATAATCGTTTCAGCACTAATACACAGTTATCGCATATAGTAATACTTATAGGTTAGTGCATGGCAGGGAGGGCCCTATGGCTTGTTAGTGCCCTCCAGGGTAGTCAGAGGGCTACCCTGGAGGGCACTAACAAGCCATTGGGCTCTCCCTGCCATGCATTAACTATTTTAGAACGAGGTCAATCCCGTTGCCTAGGAGCTGACCAATCAGCGACTTTCCCAACGACTTAATTTTCCCTTTTCAAACAGCTTCTCTTTAAGCAAAATAACCTCACTAAGGCCACAACAAAAAGATTTCGTGTTTCCGGTCGGCACCCCCCCCCCCCCCCCCGAAAAAATACGCCCGGTCGGTCGGAAAATTATTATTTTTTGGTTTGAAAGTTTATTTCCCTGCTGTATTCATAGACATGAGCCAAATTGAGAAAGTTTGGATCAGACACTGGTGATACACAATATATGAGCCCCAGCCAGCAGAAACCTGAACATGTGTAATTTTTTCAAAAATTATTTTTTCCCTCGAAATTGTTTCTACACTATTAATCATTCAAGTTATCAAGTTTGGTGACAATCTGATAAGCGAAAGCATGGAAAATAGAGTTTGAAGTCAGAGAGGTCAAGATTCGGTACAGTTGGCGCAGCATCCATGCCTAGTGACTCCATGCAAGTTGATCCTACAGTTTCTGATTGTGATGTGGAACAGGTACATGTAAGTAAATAGAATGCAAGTCAGGCTTGCCCTCTTGGTGCTGCAGCCTGTGCAGGCATGAGTAGTTCAGAAGTCACAGTGACGATATTCCGTATACATCACTACCTTCTTTACAACACCAGAGTGCAAAACGATGATTGGTGGCTGGCCTTCCAAATTGTGTTCAGGGACCTCTGCGCTGTCAGTTTGGGCGTTGTCCCAAAGCTTGCCATACTGATAGATGTACTGATCAATACTACTGACATCCACTCCCTTGCACACTTTCACTCAGACCATGATTTCAGCATAATTGTATTTCAATGATATGAGCGAATGCTGGCGTTTTGTAGCACGTGAACATGTTGCCCCAAAGCGTTCAGCCGGTTTGAGTTTTTAGGGATCCCCTTTCTCAACACAGGCAGCAGCCAGCTTGGTGTCGTCTGGCAAGGTAGAGTACTGAGAATACTACGCTCTGTTTTGCGCCGTGAGAAGCCCTCCATCAGTGTCTGCAACATCATTGTTGTCGATGTAGAAATACGGATCGCTCAGCGGGTCGACATTCAGCTTCTCCTCGCAGTCGCTATTTCTTCAGCACTGACTATCGTCGCCACCAGTATCCAGTGTCGATTTTATGAGGGCTCTTCGTTGCTATGCATATGACACTCGCCACTGCTGGACAAACTCAGCGAGATCACCAACAAAGAAATAATTCCGATCGCGAACTAACTTTCAGCGCCGCTTCGTACAGGGAGTCTCACGCTGACAACTCTGGACCTAAGTCTTTGTCGCGACACCTGTCGCCATCGCTGTGTCTAAACTCAACCTCTGTGTGACGAGCTCTCACCTAGCGCTAAAATCAATTGACCAGAGACATTTGAAGACACTTGAAACTCCTTTGACAACAAAGACACCCACTCGATCGAAAAGAATCTTCAAAAGCCAGCTCACTGCGCGTCCCAAACTTTGACGTCACATTTTGATGATTGATATCAAGTACACAAGTGCTGGTTTTCGCTGGCCGGGGCTCATATACATATTTACACATGGAATATGGAGTAGAATACCACCGCGGGACGCAGTAGATGTATTGCATAGTTCAGAGATTTCTGAGAATTGTATGCAATACCAATGGGTCAGCATCAATAGACGCATAGTACTGACATTGACACAAAAACATGCCTGCACACAATTGCACGCACACTACATATAGTACTACTAGCTACTAAAGCTACTAAAGCTCGGCTGCCAATACTGGCAATAGGCCACATCACTCCCAAAGGAGCCAGAGTCGAGGGCAGGGCAGAAATGGAGATAACAAGTTAGAATTTTCGTCTCTGCATTCAGTCAAACTTTTATTTCGGTTCGAGCAAAGCAACACAATGCTTTCAGTGTTTTTGCTTGTTTTTCTTTGTTTTTTTGTACTTGTCGTAAACCAAAAAAATTCCATAATTTTTGAAAAAACGGACCCGGTCGGCCGACCGGAAACACGAAATCTTTTTGTTGTGGCCTAATTGTAAGGCAACATGTTGATTGTAACATTGCAGTTATGCAGACCTCCACTAAATACAGTTTGAAGAGCATTATCGATTCTTTGCTGTTGTTGGGGATTAAAGCATGGAGCTGGTCTTGGACAGGCAACATTAACTTCTGAAGGAGGCTCTGCGATTCGAAGAGATGAAGATGGCGGTGGCTGCATTGGAGACGGAGGATCAAGGACAAACGTTGAACATACTTCTTTCGACGTATTCTGTCGAAGACCCGCTTTTGCGGATGACGGATTGACCAGTGGACACGAATTTGACGATGGAATGTAGGGTCTGATTTGCGAGTTGGTTCGTGAAGATTGAGATAGCGCAGGACTTGTTGTAGATGTGATGTTGTCAGAAGAGTCTTGAGGTCCCTTTTGGCGTGAGGTGGATGGTTCTTGACAGTCTTGATCAGGTGAACTTGACCTCTCATCTGATTCCCTTGGCACTGAATTTGCTTGTCGTCTTTCCAATGATTGAGATGAAGGTGCATCTAGAACAGCTGCCATATTTCTTTGTTGTTCATCAGTTGACTTGCTGTAGCTTGCCAGGCTCATGGCATTTCGGTGTCCTGTTACCTGCATGATGTGTCGATCTGTAGCTCCTGCTGCTGAGAGACGGTGGGCAGTAGTAGCCCGTACAGAATGGTTCGTGTACGTCTTAGACAAACCACACACTTTAGACAGCTTGGGCATTATTTGAGCGAGGGAATTTTTGCCCAAGGGAATATTCTCAAACCATATCTGCTCCCCTTTCCTCAGGTTCGGTTTGGGCTTTTGAAATAGCGCTTCTTGCTGAGGATGTAGACGTGACAGCAGATACTTGACACTGAAGACTTGATCTCCGTCCTGTATTCTTCCTGCGGTCGGCGGGTCATGTCTATCAGCGATACCACCGGGATGATTTTTGCTGGTAAGATCAGCGTTGAGAAGGAAATATTCATCTCCGTTGTCGTCCTTCTTGAGGACCAGGTCAGTTTTCTTCACCTGTCGTTGGATTTCTCTTCCACGGAGTGCAAAGTGATAGGTCATATAGAACCATACCTCCATTACAAGAACCTCCGGCTCCTTGCATCGTAAGAACTTGTCCTTCAGCTTCTTGAAGTCATCGTCTGTGATATAGTCCTTGTGGTTGACTGGTCGTAGTTCTCCTTCTCGCTTCAATTTCTTGAGAACTCCATCCAAGCAGTTGTTGGAACGGACAAATTCAGGATCGCTGATGATGTTCCATTTCCGCTTTCCAAGCACGTGTCGGCGTAGAGCCGCCCTAAAGCACAGATAACTTGAACGTTGATATGAACCGCCATCTTGCCGTTTAGCAGCAACGTAAAGTTTGCACAGGAAAGTATTCAGTTCAGACTTTGAACACTTCTCAATTTTTATTGGACGTGGTTGCTTCTTGTTGAATGTATTGAAAACAGAAAGCCAACATTGATTTGCTTCCTTGGTTTTGGCAGGTACTCAGGAATCCAGAACTTCCGTCAGATCCTCTTCACTTACAGATCGGAATCTTTTAGGGTTGGACTCTGCCATTGTTCTATAAAGAAACGCGGTTCTACTCTCAATCTTACACACTGTGAATGATAGATAGTTCATCCTCTCTTTCCTATAAATATAATCTATAGAAGAATGCAGCTTAGAATGTTCTATTATGCGTACGTTGAACGTTGTACTATGTACTATATTTTGTACATTGTCTAATGTTGTACCGTACATCGTACATACTTAGGATAATTTTGATCTTTTACCGTATTACGGTACAATTATT